TTTATAAGGCATCACAAAATGAAGTATGACACGTTGTAAAGTAAATGCTTTGTTATGCAGACAATTAAAAAACAAACAAACAAACAAAACAGTACAATAAATGTTATCTTTCTTGGAATGAGTCGGCTTTTCATTTTGTAAAAGTTTCTTTTTCAAGGAATAGAGGACATCTTTGGTATTTTTTGAAAGCTTAACTTGGGCACTAACTTTTTCAAACCTTTACCAGCCTGCGTCTTATCCAGGGGTGTCCAATCCTGGTCCTCGAGGGCCACAATCCTGCATGTTTTAGATGTTTCCTTCCAACACACCTGATTCAAATGATCAGGATCGTTATCAGGCTTCTGCAGAGCTTGATGATGAGCTGATCCCTCGAGGACCAGGATTGGACACCCCTGGTCTTATCATAGCATAAATGATGTCTCTTGTAAGTGACTCTTCATTCCAGTCAGTTTTAAAACTGTACCCTTTGTTTTTAAATGTACTCTTTGCTCTAAAGCTATTTGGCTGTTGTGCCACAAACACCACATAGTTTTCTTCTGTTGTGTGTCAGTATATATCACTACGTTAGACAGCATGTCTTGGAGGGTCTATGCTGTTAAAAACTAGGTCAGCTACCACAGAGACATACATCCTCGTTAATTCATGCCTGCCTTCGCTGGGATCCGTGTGGGTGTGAGGTGACAGTTTGCTGCCGGTGCCAAATGTCTCAAAAAGCAAGATTAATTGATACGCTGATATGAGCTTTGATGTATAGTGTTGCCTTGTCTGCCAGTGTGCATTCCTGGTGGCCTCATATCATAAATCACAATGCACATATTTGGGGGGGGGAAGACATGGCTGGAAACCTTTCCATATTGTTGAGTGTTACTGTACTGTGCCCGTAGGAATCTATGAGAAGAATGTTTGTGGTTTTGGTGGAAACCCGAACCGTAAAATGAGAGTGTATAAATCACACGAGACAAAAACAAAAAGGCCCAACAAATGTTTTAATTAACAGCACGAGTTGCTCAATCTCACTTGAAATAATGTGGCTGGTTTTATACAGTCTCATAGTTCAACACAATGGCTCATTAATACATCATCAGCATGATTGATTGATTGATTGATTCCCTGAAGAAGTGAAAGTTTCGACAGCCACATGGAGCGGAATGCAACTAGTTAAAAAAAAAAATCCATTTGGTTTGTCGTGTTGGTTCATTGGTTTTATTTACTGTATAATGCGCAAAATCAACATCACGGTCATGTCAGGGTGCTTTACATAGTTAGGTCAGGATATAACTGGAGGGAGAGAAACCCAACAGTTCCCTGGAGAGCAAACTTGGCGACAGTGGGGAGGAAAATAAGTGGGCAGTTGTTAACTAAAAATGTGTGGCATCTTCTGTTCTACAACAGCTGTGGGCCTAGTAATTCAGCATAAATCAGCTCTTTTCTATCTTTCATGGTGAGTGTGGTGTCGAGATGAATGTGCTGATTCTTAATTGAATATATGTGAATTATTGGGCCAGATTTTTTGCGTCATATTCAACACAACAGCTGCTTTTCACTTCAGATTACTGATTTTTGTAATATTTAGCCAAAACTCAACAGCATTTAAGAATCAGAATCTTTGGCTCCGGCTTCCTTCCACAATCCTGAGTCATGTATGGGAGGTTAACCAGTCATTCTAAGTCAGGGGTGTCCAATCCTGGTCCTCGAGGGCCACAATCCTGAGTCATGTATGGGAGGTTAACCAGTCATTCTAAGTCAGGGGTGTCCAATCCTGGTCCTCGAGGGCCACAATCCTGAGTCATGTATGGGAGGTTAACCAGTCATTCTAAGTCAGGGGTGTCCAATCCTGGTCCTCGAGGGCCACAATCCTGAGTCATGTATGGGAGGTTAACCAGTCCATTCTAAGCTGACCAGAGAGAGTGAGTGTGCATGGTTGTCTATGTCTTCCCCCCATAATTTCCCTCTGGGATTAATTAAGTCAGTCTAAATCTAAGTCTAAATCTAAGCTGGGATAAGAGAATGTCTCTCTTGGAGGAGTTTTGCATTAAAAGTTGGAATGAGGATGATTCACAACACATTTTATTATTATTAAAAAAAAAAAAAAAAAAACATATATCCAGGATTATCCAGTTACAACTTGTAAAATACTGACATTTTTATTTTCACTTTATACCTTTAAAATCCAGCAAACCAATCGATATATCTGTTGACTATTCAAACCATTTCTCACTGACGAGACAGGACGCAACATTGGTACAAGAAAAACTTTATTGATGTGTCTTTTACACAAGTCAAACATTACACTTCCACATACTGCGCTTTACAAAAATCCAAAGCTTTCCCGCAGTTTGACAAAGAGGAGAAAGTGGCGTTAAAATGTCTCATCATACATACAATAATAAAGATTAATATCAAAATGATTTGATTTAATTGGCCACTCATTATTCTTCTATTAAGGCGAATAGGGCAGCAGTTAACAGGTTAAATCTCACATGCAGGCACATTTGCAATCTTTCAACATAATGAATCGAATCCACTTTGGCCTATATCACCATTCATATTCATCTCCGCTAATTAACTTTTAACAGTCACTTCTTCGGGGCTTGATTTGCGGCATGTTGGAATCAGAATATCACAGCAACACACAGTCCCACAACTCACCACAACAAACAAACGAACAAAAAAAAAACAACAAATCAGACCAGACACAAAAACAATAATCTTATCAAAAGCAAACAATAAATGAAAGCCAATAATGAAAATCAATAAATCAGCACTACAGGACAGTATTTGTGTCCCATTTTGAGTAAATACTCAGTGAAATCACAGACGCACACACACTCAGATTCTCTCTTTCTCACTATTTAACTCCTACTCTTTTGCCTTACCACTTTCTTACACCTCCACTCCTCCTGTCGGCCTCCTGACTTACTCTGAGTACGCTACGCTGCCAAGGCGCACGGCTAGGCCTCGGGATGTTTTCTTTCCAGCATGTACCACTGTTTAGGATCTGATACTGAACTCATTCAACTAAGCACATGCCTGGAGGTTGGTTTAAGCTCAAGTATCCCAACCTGTTTTTGTCATTGTGACTGACAGATGGAAGCATCGGTGCTGTTCTTACAGTTTGCTGTGTATTGCCAGAGTCTGACAAACTCACTGAGCCCCTTCATCACCTAAAATGTAAAGTCAAAGCTCTCTTTCTTGGCATTGCTGCCTCGCAGCAATCGTTGTTTTTGTTTAAATATCAGCGCATAGCAGGTAGTGGCCAACAGGAGGAGATGACAGGCCCTTTTACTGTCTCTTCTATACGTCACATGAAAGCAAAGAACATTTACTGATACAGTAAAAAAAGGAAATCATTGTCATATATTTCTACATTTAACAGGATTCTGTCAAAGTGCACAATTGGGGCTCTCAGTTACAGAAACACGATATGCAACCAAGAAAGAGATACATTTAAATACAGGTTAAACAAAGAAAACATATTAAAAATATTAAAGTTATATTCACAGCAATTTGTCTAGTCTATCAATACCAAAAGGTGACTTTTACTGACCATGAGCCACACGATCCAAAATCCTTGTCATTCAGAACTCTTAACCCCCCCTGTGTGAGGTGTAGCACTGCTACACACCACCTGAGCTGACCAGTAAACACATATACACACATACACACCTGGAGGTATCTATGGTTACCCCGAGTTACATCTTTACATGTAAGTGTACAGGTGAAAGGTGCCAGCATCAGCGTGAAGAGTTCTGTTAACAGAAGTTAGCACTTGTGCAATGCTTACACTACAGCTCTTTGATAAACTTGCTTGGCTCCAACACATCCAGACCAAGTCGTAAAAGTCACATACATACATACCAAACATGCACACCACTTATTCAGAGCAGTCTTCGAGTTTGATCTACAAAGGCCTCTCACATCTACAAAACCACCCAAAAGCCCAGAACACCAAAGAACTAACATTGATAAGAAATTAGACACACTAAAACTAAGTATAATACAATAAAAAAAAAATCCAATTATAAAAAAGTATAACTTAAAAAAATAAAATGTCAGTAATGAGTGTCGTGATAATAATTAGAACGGATCAAAGTAAAGCTTTAATGACATGTAGATGTAGAATGGAGATCAGCGAATGTGAGGTGATGACACAGGTGGAGCGGTGAAGGGGAAATGCGTATGAGAAGTGGAAGTAATTGGTGAGAGAAAAGGAAACAAAAGGACAGAGCTTACAGTGGCTATATTCCAATATTTTTGTACAGTCTCTGTTCTTTATCTCTTCTCTTCTCTTATCTCTTCCCAGCTCTTTGTTGAGGCTGAGAGCTACTCATATGTGTGACAGCTGATAGTGTGGGAGAGCAGCTGGCTGACTGTTTACCACATTTCTATCGGGTCATTTTTAGTATCAAGGAGAAGAGTTAAAAAATGGAGGACAGTACTTTCATGTTTCCAGTGCTGGGCTGTACTCTGTTGTATGAACATGTCTGCGTGGAGTGCAGGTACAATCTAACCTGGGCATTTATCTGTCACTGCTGACAGCTCACCCGCGGCTTCGTGCGAATATGATCAGCGTTGTCCTTTAGACGCTGTTTTTGTTCCTCATAGCTGTCTATGATCATTTCAACACATCACCAACCTACATTTCAGAGCTAGATTACTTAGCAGAGCAGTAAAAGCACAGTGTTGGGAAGTTACCTTTCAAACTCATGGCCTGCTTACAAATATTAAATACTGATGAAAACTGAAGGATTTTAGCCATTTCAGTTAGTATTAAATCCATAAAATGTCAATCTGCTATCATTTGCAAAGTCTGCCATCCTCTGCATTCGCCACGATCCAGTTTGAATCGATTTGGTTAAAATCTCTGTGAAAAGGTAAGTGTCCCTTTATTTAAGAATATGCCATCACACGCTCAAAGCTCAAACTGCTATTTATATTCTTAGAGAATGTTTACCTTTAGTAATTCAGCAAGTTATCGCAAATTTTCTCCAAATATCTGCAGTCTTTTTAAAAATTCTACAACATCTGACACGTTGCTTCCCAACATTTTGTGCCGTTACTACTAACACAAGGTTCCTCTACTGTGCCTATATGACTCCACAGGCTACAGACAAGTCGTTAGCATTTTAACTGCTTCCCCAAAAGGACTACAACTGTGGTACATTAAAAAAAAAAAAAAAAAAAGATTCACAGCAACACAATGTTTTTGCTACATGATGCTGTGAGGAAAGCTCACGTCTAATGTGGACTGAACTATTAAATGTGCCTGTTATAAAAATAAAGTGTACGTTTTTGTGCTGTGTTTGGGTTCCACTTGAAGAGTTAAAGTTCTTTAGTGTGTGCTCTCATGTGTGTGTGTGTGTGTGTGTGTCTCTGTGTGTGTGTTTATGGTCATTGTCTGTGGTACTTGTCATTGTAACGGTGGATGGTTACACAGCCGTGGTAGGAGATGGGTCGCGGCATGGCTGCCACTCCTGTGATGATCCCTGTTGACGGGTCGTAACACAGGATGGTGTCTGTAGCTTCACCGCTTTCCCCTCTGCCACCCAGGATGAAGATCTTACCGTTACATACTGACATGCCACAGCTCTCCTGCAAAAGAGAGAGAGAACGAATTAAAGAGTGCAGCTCCAGCATATAAAAACAGAGGATTCTTGAAGCTGAGGTCAGTTTGTTCGGGGAGCTCTCGCATCTGCATTCAATCTATCACCTGTTTGTTGAAGGTGTGAACCACATGCATCCAGTAGTCCTCAGCAGGGTCGTAGCAGAAAATGGACTTGGTGAGACCACCGCACACGTAGATCAGGTTGTTGAGTGACACTGCTGTGATGCAGCGCTTGGCAATCGGGATGTTGGCGCGTAGCAACCAGGTGTCTGTCTCTGGATCATAGCACTGGACCTGTGACACAGAGCATGATGTAGTGATGTTTTACAGTGATACAAATAGAAAGGCGTTCTCTACGTATTTTTCAAATATATGCCGAGTGGCAGGAAAATAGTTGTTGAATAGACAAAAAAATGAAATATGTGCAGCTCATTCTGTGGTTTTACAGCCTGTTCTGTGAGCTGACATATGTCTGCGTCTGTGTGGTTTTGCATACAATCCAAGCATTCTCTCTCTCACTTAACTTTAAAATAGCCTCCTTCCAAACAGTTTGGTCACTGACTACGCCTAATGTGCACAGAATCTCACTCCAACCGATGGGGACCTTGGGGGATCTACGTAATAACGACTCAGGAGATAAGTGGCTCCAAGGAACTGAGACCAGTATGCCAATTAGGCCATGCATAGTTAGGTACAAACAATCAGCAATGCAGTTCGCCAGCTCTTCCACGGAAGGGAAAAGCTGAATAAATAGCAGTTGAGATTCCTGTGAAAGCCACGATCTTCCTGTTTACTATCATTTTACCCTCATTTTTTTGGACATGCTTTTTGTTATCAACACAAACAAGAAACTTCAGCTTGTAATTTTGAGTTACGCTTAGACAACACACTGACTTTAAACTGAATTTTGCATATGTCTGGCGTGTTTAGGGTATAATCAATGGAAACTGGTTATCTAAGACAAAAAGAACTTAAGCTGTCATCACTATGTGCTTGAGTGTGGGGGTACAGCAGCACACATCTGTTTCCTACCTTGTCTGAACAGGTTTCGTCGTCAGGGCCTCCTCCGATGACAAAGAGCTTGCCTGCACAGCTAGCCACGGCTGGAGAGCTGACCGCCTCTTTCATGGGAGCCACCTCTGTCCAGCGGTTGGAGAAGGAATCGTAGCACTCCACGCTGCTCAGGCGGCTCTGGCCATCATAGCCACCTACAGCATAGACCTGAGGACAGACACACAGACAGATATGGATCAGATGAGGACCGGAGATTCAATTATCACCTTTTTATAAATGCCACACCAACAACAAAAGCAAACAAAATCATTATGAACTATATTAAAGACATGTGTGTTTAAGATGACTGGTTTCTGAATATGAACAACAGTTTGTACGTCAACACTTAGAGAACCAGTTTATCAGGTGCAGAAAAAACATGACGCAATGCCTTTAAAAACAACCACGATTAATCCTGCCCTTGTTGCTCTTATATCCGTAAACACTGCACCGGACCCCTGCAGGCACAAAGTGCATCTTCTAACCTTGAGCATTACTTACTGTCAGTAGCAGCCAAACAATACCCTGAGTCACTGTTTTCTCCTGACATTCCTCGGTAAATGTCTCGGGGGGGTTCTAGTAACCGACTACAACAACACAATGTTTTTGCAGTTATTTAACAAAAAAACGGAAGGAAAAAAAAGTTTGTAACAGTTTGGATTTCCACATTGGCTGATAAACGCTATCATATGTCACTGCTGGTTGAGGAAGTCTGCACCACTAACAATGAATACACATAAATCTGACTTCATGCTAATGCAACACAAGCTGGAGCATTGTGCATTGTGTTATCAAATGTCTTGTGGTTACATACACTACATTCCTGGAGTTATAAAAAAAAGTGGCAACATGAACAGAAACTGGGAAGGTGAGGCGTAAAGAATAGAAAGGAATCAAAGTTTTTACCGAAAGGTGGTGGAAGGTATAGATTTATTTTTCTATCCTTCTGTTTTGACGATAACATTCATGACAAAGAGCTCACGTGTCAATGATACAAACACAGAGCAGCATTGCTGGTTACGAGCAAAACACAACTCGTCAACAGGCCGGTCTTATGCAACAGAAACCCCTTCAGGCTGTTCCTGTCTCTCCGCAAAGTCGGAAACACAAATAAGTGCACAGGACAGAGAGAGAGAGAAAAAAGAAGAAACAAAGAAAGATGGAGGGAAAGAGAGGGAACGGAGAGCTGATAGGGCGCACGGATATTTGCATTCAACACCTGAGTAACGCTGGACGACATGACCGCCTTTTTCAACTGAAAACCTGATGATCCGTACTCTTGTAAACAGCTGATTTCCAAAGTAGTGTTTTCTTTGTGTGCTTTATTTTCAGTGACAACAACACACAATCTATCCCCCATTTGGTGGAGGGCAGCTGCCACACTGTCATTTACAGAACACAACTGCAGTCACGTAATCAGCTGAAAACTGTTGATTGTAAAACTCTATTTTGATACAGCTGATTGCAATCTTTAAATAAGGGTTGTTTGTTGCTACAGATGACAGATTCAAAAGAAATGTGGTGCTGAGCGATAAAGCTAATCAAGCTCAAAGAGAAGTTAATTTTTCTCTAATGGCCTTAAAGAGGATGGTCCACCCATTTATTTCACTTCTTCCAAGTAATTTTAAAAATGACAAATTCTGGCTAACTAAAGCTGCCTAAACAAATCTGAAAAACTACCAACAGTGAGGTCCATGGATTGTCCATAGTAATAGGGACAACAGATGTAAATGAGAAAACACGGGATGAGTTTTATAATTTGGGTGAACTGACCCTTTAACAGCCCGCTGAGGATATCCAGACACTAGCCTGTTTGAAGAAGCTAGCGGTGGGGAATGGGGGCGTAACACTGGATCAGTCTTTTCTTTTCCTCCTCGCCACTCCGCACTCACTCGTTAAGACACTCCATATTGTTTCGATACACCACGAAAGTGTGACTATATCAATATTGCCACATTTCACATGAACCCGATGATGGTAGCACATACGTAATACCGACCAGAGGCACGCGGTAATCGCATAAATACTAAGCCAAACATAATTCATCAGTCGCCGCAGACACACTCGCTGGCCCCCGAACAAGCACGTGCACGGCTAATTTTATGACCATGTTTAAGTTGACGATGGTTGAATGATTAACTGCTTTCCTTTACATTCGGGAAGGTGTGAAGACTGTGACAGAAACAGAGAGTGAGTGACTAAGTAGGTGGAAAACAACATAGGAGAATAGAGGGAACGAGAGAGAGAGAGAGACACATTATGATAGCTGAGAACAGCCGTCACTAAGTGCAGCCATAACAGGGAACGGAAAACAAGTGGTGACCTATTTTAGCTTATACTCGGTAGAAACAAGACCAGCCCAACAGGACATCACAGACTATAAGACGGTGACAAGTCCTTCATCCTGCTGAGAATTACCTTCACAGGTTTAGACTTAAAGTTACAGCTCGTAGTAAATTAGGCAGTGTATGGTCTGCACAAGTTTAGTAAGACAAGAACTGGTGTGCTTATGTGTGCAAATAAACATGCTTTTTCCACTGAACATGCAAAATTATTGGAGTACTTCCTCCTAAGTGCAAAATCTTCATATTGCAGCATGAACTTGCTCATGTGCTCATTACACAAGCTTGTTTACAACACCCAGCCTAGCTACTTCATCGTTCCAACTCTAGCATCAGTGCAGTTCAAGAAAAGTGGAGATTACAGACTGAATGAGGAAATGACTGGGTATAAACGCGCAAGGAGGCTGAACTAAATTCTGGGGAAAGACGACAGTAGAGATACTGCATGTTATCGAAGATCAAAGGCCAAATACAATCTGGAATATACCAAGAAGCGCCCACCAGCACGACCCTTCCTGACACGATAAAAGAATTCTGAGGAAAAATCAAAAGCAAGTACTGTCATCTGACTCTCAGTTCTTACGAGTCTGCAAAGAAATGGCATGAAGAAGAAAATAGGAGACGGGGAGGGAAATGAGAAGCCCTCCTGGGATTTACCATCTCCAAGGTGTTTTTCAAAAAGGATAAACTGTGTGTGTTTATGAGCGGACATTAAAAACACACATTTGCCTTTTTGATTCTTTTAGTGTATGTTGTGTTACACCTGGCCAGTTTAATGCCAAAGTTGCATGAGTTCATATAGAAGTACAGTACAGAGCAACAAACCATTTTTGCATGCGAGTGTCCAATCATTAGACCATCGTTTACCACCTATAGTTAAGTTAAATTGCAGCCATATCAGTGAACTTGTTTTCACCATACCATGGCACATGACTGGAGTTAATTACTGACTTTTATAGCCACAGTGTGACCACACAGCTCATTACCTCATTGTTGTGGAAGACCAGAATGTAGATCAAATGCACACATGGATGTATGTTGTGGTAAGGCAATTACGTATTTTGGGTTTTGTCTGGAAATCACAAACAGTCCAATACAGACTGGCTTAAAGCTTATATACATAAAAGAAAAAATGAGGAAAGGATGTTTGCACCGTTGCTGCAAATGTCAAGAATTCCTTGAGTCTCGTAAAAAAAAGTAAATAACGTTTGGCATCAGGTCAAAGCTTAATAAGAACACTTGTCCATTTGTACACATGGTGGTTAAAGTACACACAGCTGTTTGTAAGTGCTGTGTTAGCCTCAGCCATGTGTGTTTATGTTGTGAATGCTTTAGTCAAGGCAGTCAATAGCTGTTCTTCTTTATGCAACGCTAATAACAAATAACTACAGTTTAGCAGCTTTTCATGGGGTAAAAATGCCATTGCATTGCAAGTGGTCAACATCTGTTTTGCATATAGATGGTCTTTACAATCACATATGGTATAAATGCAAATACTGTGCTATGAAGAAAAACTTGACTATCTAGTTTGGAAGCATTTAAAAACACAATGAGTAACCATGATCCATGTTTCTAGCCTGTAAAACAAATGCTTTACAGTTGACAAATATAGTTATTTAAACCAATTATAGAGTTTCCTTTCTAACAGAATGAGTTCAGAATTCCACCGTACTATAAACTGCACATATTTAAGTGTGCTGAAATGTGCTGACATATGCACACCAGTGTGTGTTTACACACTCATCAGGAGCTCTTGTAGCTATGTATGGCAAGTCCAGGCTGAGCAGAGGCACACGAAGCACGATACAGGCAAGTGGACTGAGCTAGTCTTTAACTTGGACGAGTGAGGTGCTGGCCCACATCCAGTAAACTCCCACTGCCCTCAAACAAGAATTTCCACCTGCCCTCTACGAAAGAGTGTAAATAGCAACAGCTCAGCAACAGAGTAAAGCAGTGATGGAGGATTACTGATCAGCTTACATGCAGACATCAGCTTCACTCAAATTTCACAACCAAACTGGTGCCAGACCCAACACTTGACATATACAGTAGTATATACAGTGTACAGGAGACTACGAACAGAGAGATATTACATATGATAGAAAAAGTTAAGGATATGTAACAGAATGTCCATAACTTTTACAACAGATTTAAAATATAGAAGGAAATTTGTAGGAATAACTACAAGCGACAGCTGATTCTTTTCTATGTGCAGGGTATGTAATGGGTAAATCAGGTACACTGTTGCTGTATCTGGACACTTATTTATTTGCCACTTTTAAGAAGTCAAACTTCCTTCTCTCTGTTAAACCGGTTACTATGCATCTATGATATACGAGATAAGCTGGCACCAGTTGTTCACGAACCTTGAAGCAACACACGGATATGTTACACAAACAGACACACACAGACAAAAATGCCATTCTTTGTCACAAAGCACCTTCACAGACGAACAGAGAAGAACTCTTAGAGCACAAAGCAGGTTAAAGTCTGATGTGACTGGAACAGGTATTAGAGTGTCCTCCTTTCTTCCACCGATTAATGAATCAGGTTGAAGCCTAGATACTTAAAGGGGACCTATTATGCTTAATTCCAGCTCTATATTTTTATTCTCTGACTTTACAAGAGTAGCTTTGCATGACTCACAGTTTATCCTTATCTCATATTACCTGCTATTAGCCCTCCAGATAAGGTTCAGTGTAAAACAAGTAATATCAGCTCCAGGCTCTTTAAGGTCCCCATCCCTATAAGCCAACTGTCATCTGATTGTCTAACTTCCGGAAGCTTGCCCAATTGGGACTAACTTTGAATATCACATAGTTGTATACTGGAGTGCACTAAATGCCTCAAGCAGATTGTTTTGCAAGAAGGTGTATAACTGTAGTTTGGCTTCGAGGGTGTGTTGCGCCTTATAAGGACATCCGTGACGAGATGATGTCAGCAAGTCGCAAAGGTAGAAAAAAAAAAAACTAGTGGAAACCCAGTATTCAGTCTGAAGCCTGGGTTTCTTTTTCTCTCACTCGGATTACTTTTACACACGTTTCCGTCATCAGTTGAAACGTCAACCATGCTTAACATGAACAACTGACTAACATTATATGACAGAAAATAAGGAAAAGAATATGGCTCCTCTTCTATAATGTCAATCATCCCTTAGTATGCAAAGCCTTTGGTATGCTTAAAAACAAATCCCTTCAAGCCTGCAGGGGAAAAAAAACAGTATGCGTAAGAGTGGAATGAGACCCCTGATTGTAAAGCTGTCAAAAAGCTCAGAGGAACATTCTAATACCCTTCCTGCTCAGGATTCAACAGAAATTCTTTAATTTGTAAATGTCCAACTCTTGTGTTTGTGATTGGCCTCAGATAAGTTGATAAATACCTGAGAAAATAGTAAAGACAGTGCTGTGAATCATTTTCTCAGTAAAAATGGTACCACTGGAGCATGAAACACTCGTGTGGTGTTGCTGTTGGTTCTATCAGTGGGGAAAATGAGATGCTGAAATACAATCGATTCATACATTGGAGGCATCTGTGGTGTGGTCTGAAGGAATCACGATATTGATTCATAATTCCTCCTTACCTTGCCCAGTAGGACGCCCATCTTGTGTCTCCAGCGGCCTTTGTTAAGAGAAGCCACTCTGATCCACAGGTTGAGCTGGGAGTTGTACATCCACACATCCCTGCTGTTGATACGACCACCTAAAAAACACAGAAGGACTCGCATTTCAGGTGCTGTAAACAATACTGTTATTCTGGGTTTGAGGAGAAGAGTCAAAAGGGTTAATATAGACCTTTATTAACATTTTGTAAGTTGATGAAACATAAAAGAGTTTTAATAAGTTCCTGAATAACCATAAGCTGTTCTTGGCAAATGTCCAGCTTTGCTTTGTGTGTTTATGTCAAAGAAATGTGTTATCTTCCAACTAAACCAGAATTGTAAGTCTTATCTGACTTTGACCCTAACTGGGTCTCGAGTTCACCTAGCAAATAAAAAGGAGTCCTTACATTAGAGGCAGTCAAACATCCAGCACGTGCACTGTTTAAATATGTACACGCACACACATATAATATCATGTTTCAATTTGTATGCACAGGGGGGGATGAGTAACCGTCAGTTTTATAAGTGGTTTGAGAAACACTGTGACCCAGACACAGGCCCTGACGTGCACATATCTCTCTCAATAAGCCCTGTGCTACGCAAACGTTTTTAATACAGCATACATGATGAAATGTAGGTTAAGTGAAAAAAAATAGTCTCCCATAGTCTGATCTATCGCCACAGCGCTGTCGGCTGCATCCATTATTATTCTGCTATGGGGGGGTGAGGTGTTCTGGCTTGTTTATATTCCTAATACCAACCACAATCTCTTTGGGAAGCTGAACTCTGTACACAGTGACAGTACCCCTGTAAAATAGCAAGTCAGAGTGTTTGGTGGAACATTTGGTGAGGTGTTGTCATTAAAAAGGATCCTTCATCAGCAGAAGAGAAGACACTGCAAAAACATGATGTTACAAAAGACACACTTTGCTAATTGGTGTCCTGGAGGTTGTTTCCAGTAATGAAGGAGATTTGGAAAATATATACACAGTCGACATCCAGTGAGTCAGACTACTGAACAAAGCGGTTTAATTGTGAAGTTGAAAATACAACACTATCCAACATTAATGAGAAAAATTAGGGGAATTTAGTGGTGAACAGGTTATCACTGTTTTGCAGTTAGAATCGGAAACAGTTATCTGCTGGCTTTTATCCTGCAGCAAGAAGTGCGATGACTTGGAGCATAGGTGCAGCATGGATACCGACGTGATTGGAGCACATAAACAGAAAGGTCAGTGACAATCTGTGTTATTTCACACCAGGACTTAAATTGATCACATGTTGGTGACATCAACGAATAAAATACAGATTCTGAAAATGAACACTTCAGCCTTCATATCACACATCTACCTATAAAACTCCTTCAGAGAAGAAGAGTTCTTAACAGCAGAGATTAATAATAATCTGCTGAAACTAACATCAAACATTTCTCAATCCATTCTGTTTTGTTGTGGTAGTGTCTGCAATGTTCTGTTGGGTGTTTTCTTTGTACAGCACCCAAAGGGGTGGCAATATGGAGTAATGATAAAAGCGTAACCTGCCTGTGTAAACACAAGTGTCTAGGCTTTGTTCAGCTATCACATCCAAACAAAGCAAGAGTTTTAACTGGCTGGCAGACAGACTGAACAGGTGGGTACAGATAATAGGCATGTATTTGATCGTAGCAAAAAAATACATAAAAAAAAATCACCTTCTTACAGGGTTATCTGATTAAACAGCCAAAGCTCATACACGTCTACTTCTTCTGTTTTTCGTTGAAGTGTAATACAGGTTAATTAATGTTCTGTCACTTTGAATTACACTGCAGCACAGACAAAAGGGGACGAGACAAGCAAGTTCTGCTCAATAATCTGCTGGATAGTCAAAGAGCCAGACAGTCTGCTGCCCTTGAGGCTTCTGCAGTTAAAAAAAGTGGCATGACGAAAACATGTTGACGGAGGATGTACCACTTCAAAGAGAGACCTGTGAATCTACAAAGCTAGTTATAAATGAACTACTTCCTTGAGAAAAAGGCCTTTTCACAAAAAAACGTAAGTTGGTCGAGTCTTCCAGGTGAAGATGGGAAGGACTGCTGCTAATCACTGTTTTTAAGGAACAAGAATACGTGACTTTGGGAGGTCCCACCATGATTTGTGTGACAGCTCTCTGAAAGTTACGCATTGCTTACGTTTATTTGCATTTTTACTGCTAATAGTAATGACCTTGCTCACCGTGTCAAAGAATTCCAGCATGTGAAAAGACAACTTGTGACTATGACATGCGACTTTCTGTAACGCACTGATGCTCACTAGCTGATAATACATCATCCAAGCGGCTGACTGCGATGTTATTGATGTATAAAGTCAGCGGCGGCCAGACTTCCTGTCCCAAGACAGAGAGACCAAAGATGTTTTGTGTAGCCAGCTGAGTCAAATCCTATTTAAGACCCCGGCTAACTGCAGCTGCGCTAGAGACTGGAGGCCCTGTAAGGTATTCGCACCAGTTTCCAGTGAAGAGAGGTGTGGACAGAGCGAGACAGAATGGAGGTGCAGGAATGTAATGGAGATAAAAATAAACTCAAGAAAAGGGGATTAAATGTGTCAAGAAACACACATATGAAAAACAAAGATGGAAAATGGAGCAACAAAGATCGTGATATGCGATTAAGCAGTGGCACATATGTTTGTGTGAGACAGAGAGACGTGGGGGAGGGGTATGTTGACTTTTCTGGCAGCGCTTGAGGATAGATTGATAGCACACACGTGAGGACTTGGCACAGTGAGGGAACACTGCACACTCTCTGCTGAAGGGGAGAAAACTTTCTTTTTTTTTTTCTCTATATCTCCATTTTTTTTTTCTTCCCCCCCGTGCCCTATATCATTCAACTGCTGTTTTTGTCCGTTTAGGTTGTGCAGCGTGCCTGAACATGAGCAGTCCTAGGAGGCGCATCAGATCTCCTGTCATTGCTTTTTCTTGGAAATTTCACAGAAAAAAAAAAAACCCTGTTAACCTTTACGTTCCCAATCCAACAACCTCACAGAAGGGCATCTTGCACACAGTATAAATACAAAATGATTTTTGTCTTTGGCAACTACCTTCACTCTGACCTCATTGGTTAAAATGAATGAGGTAATACGAAAGTCTTGTTTAATCCAGGTCTTTTTTTTTTTTTTAAACTAAAAGAGGCTTACTCCACACTTGGCCCAGGCTCAATTTTCAAAAAAAAAAATCCAGCAGTATTGCCAGGAGGCCCCAAGAGCTACTAAACGTCAAGGTTCTGATTTATTTTAAAAGTTTTCACAACACTACATAAGACCGTAGTCTGAAATTAAACCGTGTCGTTAGATGAATGCATAGTGGCGATGGGAGGAAGTTGCTGAACCAAGGGAAGGTGGTGACCTGGATGACTGGCCAATGAAAAAAAAGAGAAGGACCGAGCTGGCCAATGAAGGCGTCCCTTAGTACTGAGACTGGAGAGTGCATCCAGATGTGGCTCATATTTTCCTTCAACTCAAACAGGCTGAGGCTGTAAAAATAACACTGGGAAAACAGCCACAACGGCTTTTCCTGCCACTCCACTCAGAGATTAAATGGCAAGTCAAGTACAGATTGACTGTGTCCCCTCAAACTTTACTTGTGGCTTTTTGTTTTGGGGAATGAAAAGTCCTACAATAATTAAGGTAACCAGAACATATTGAGTCAAAACACAGAAAAAAATGTACATAAGAATATTAACAACACTGGCTTAAAATCAATTACTTGAAAACATTCCTGATTTTGTAATGCCAAAATGACATTGACAACACTGACGATGACGTTCTTGAAAAAGAAAAAAAAAATAGCGATCAAATTCTACATGGTTAAAATATAAGACACTATATGTTAAGGAAATTCTGGCTGAAGCTCGGATAGATGTAGTTGTATTTGGCATTTATTTCAACATCTGCTAAGTTGTCTAATTGGAAACCTTATCTTCCAAAGTTTACACATACTTATGTTAATTTCAAGCCGTGCTTTTGAACTTGCGGCAAATCCAGCAGGATCTTACCTGACACCAGAATGTCATTGCGGAGGGCGCAGACAGCATACTCTGACTTGGTGAACTCAGGTAGTTTGGCCAGTGATTTCCATTCTCCTGTGACTGGATCGTAGCATTCGGTGTAGGGCAGGTTGAAGCCTCCCACCCGCTCACAGCCACCCACCACGACAATTACCTCTGAGTAACCAGTCGACCTGTACAGAAGGAAGCAACGAAGTTCAGACAGAGGGAGAGACATGGAAATTAGAGGTGAAGGGGTAGAATAACAACACAGCTGAAGCAAGCATAAAAACACAAACACGAGGAAGAACTCAAATCAAACGGCACCTTAAGGAAGGAACAGATGATAGACATGGTGTCTAAGATACCGTGTATGTGTGTAGGCCTATACAAAGGGCATGCATACATATAAACATGCACATGTCAACACTTGGAGGAATTTATAATTACAGAAGGTAGAATTTAGTGACAGGACCAGAAAATAGTGGTGGTTTCCGCAGCAATAGCTTCATTCATCTTCAAGACAAAGTTCCGTTTACAACGACGGCATCAGTCTAGGGTACAACAAAAACATACTTGGGGCAATACTTCAGCTGAATTTCCATGATCACAAAGCTTTCCTCTTTGGCTGCTCAAAACATGCCGTAGATATGACCACATTTCCTATGGGAGATCTAATTAACAACAGCTTCTTTTCTTATTGTGCTTTTCTGACAAACCGATGCCAGATATTCTTTTTTGTATATCTAGGCAAGTATGTGTCTTTGCATGTCTGTTTACTTGGCATGTGGTGGATTGTACAGGTACAGGTAGGGGTTTAGGGTTGTTTCAAGGACTTGTACACATTTATGAGACAGTCTAGCCCAGGAGCGGTTAAACCTCATTTGTGTGTGTGTGTGTGCATGTGATCAATTATATTCTAGAAGCTTCCCAAGGGAGGAGAAGCCCTGGTGTAGATACAGAAGGGGAGAATCAGGCATCTGTTTTGAGCAGGAGAGGATTTGGCCCTGAGGGCAAACGAAGCCGGCAGTGCGGGGACCGACTGCATGATTGGCTTGCTGATGTGAACAGATCTGCCTCGATACTGACAATACACCTGAAGCACACGTCACACAGCCTTAGTAGCTGACAACTGGCACTTTAACCCTTACAGCAGGTCTAACAACAGAAGCAGCTGCACTGTTGTTTGTTGTACAGCAGTCTACCATACAGTCCATTTAGGATCTCATTCATAAGGTTTCTTTCAGCACCAGTCTCTGTCCTTTATTAGAGATTACATTCTAACAACAGGAAACATCAAACAAATAGCCCCCCCCAAAAAAACATCACAAACAAAAGACTATTAAAAAAATATAGGTATAAGGTGAACAGGTGTGGACACTTGGATCCCAAACACCTCAGTGAGGTGAGTTACACTGCTGGTATGATAACAAGACTCAACATTTCATGATTGCCATTTCTTGCATCACATCATTTTTTTCTTGTCAGCCAACCAGTCTATGTACGAACATGCCCTGCTTCCCCCATTATCATTTCCATTTCAAAATAGGCCTACAAAACAAAGCTCGGTCAATGACACACTTGTCTGTTCAGTACAATAACACTCCCTGTCTCTCTCACGCTCACATGCACAGACAACAACAACACTGCCAGGAGCACCAAGTTCAAGCACAAGTTGTAACCTCTGGCTATATAATGTGCATAAAAAAATTGACAAAGTGATGAAAAAAAAAGGGTTTTCCTATATTAAACTGATCCCTGTCATCACTGTGGATTAATGTTTTAACCCAACAACACAGTCGGAAAAGATTAAACAAAATCTGTTTTTTAATTGGAAAAATCAGTCATGTATGAGTCATGAGACTGTCACGCAGCATTTACTGTCAGTTAACAAGTCAAACTACCTCCACAGGTTATCATATCTACGTTATTTGTCATACCCAGGAAGGTAGCATTTTACTTACCTACGTGGACGAGTTCTGGGTGACATCATCTCATTCCCCAGCACGTGGTAGCGTCTGGCCTCGTGGAGAAGGTGGTAGCACTCTGGAGCGTTCTGGATGAGCTGGTCTCCCTCCACGGTCTGGACAAAGTAGTTGGGGTGCAAAAGGGGCAAGCGAACATGGTGCAGGAGAGCTTTCAGCATGGGCCTCCGGTGCTCCACACTGTGGTACACCCATCGCATCACTGCCTCAAACACCACCTCCTCCTTACCGATGGACACCTCATCACTGTTAATGTACTCTTCAAGCTCTTCTTGGTGCAGGTCAAGGAACTCTTCATGCTGAGCCACCTCTGAGAAGTTGGCCAGGGCATAACTACGGCAGCGGCTGGCAAGCTGCTTCAGAGAATGTGCTTCTGCGAAGCGCTGGATGCCCAGGCAGTTGCATGGATCCAGTTGGTCCTCTAGGAACTTTGCACAGGCATCACGCAGCGTGGTGATCTGGAAGAGGCTGGAGGTTTCAAAGAGGAACTGGACATTCTCAGTGGTGATCTTGGCACGGCCGGTGTAAACATAGGTGAGGAAGGAGTCCATCGCCTCAGCTAGGATGCCATTGATCTCAACCAGCATCTCACGACTTTCGCGGTGATCATTGCAGAACATGGCTCTGAAGTAGGAGGAGCAGGCAGAGAGCACAGCGCGGTGGCAGGGGAACTCACGACCCTGCACGCTGATGACCACATCGGTGAAAAGGCGGCAGTCACGAAACTCATTGAATACCTGCAGGATGCCCTCTGAGTGTGAGGAGCCAGAGCAGAAGTCCAAGACATCCTGGCTGCCCACAGTTTTGGATTCAACCTCAAACACCTTAGGAGAAGACATCATGTATAAAAATGTATGAAATTTTGTGAATTTAGACACAAGCTTTGAGATAGAATACATGAAAACTGACTGCACCTTGCGTTTGACAGCGGGGGAGTCTCTGATCCCAGAGTCCTCCCTGTTCAGCCTTCTTCCTAAAATCAACACCATGGCTTCCACCTTCAGCGTAGACCTCCTCTAAACTTTAGGACCTGTGGACAGTAAAGAGGAAGTACAGTACTATCACCAAAAATGTATCCATGATATATCACTACACACTATTACAAGAGCAGCCTATTAGATGTGCTGGTGGGGGATAGGCAGGGAATGGTCATGAATGCACAAATAGCAACCTAATTGGATCACTATTGTACAAATTGAGAACATTCAACAGTGGAAAACAAAGCACTCACAGAGCAGAGCCACAAAAGCATGTGTAAAGAACGAGGAGAAAACACGTGAGCCTCACAAACAAACTACTTAAGCCCATGGGGTAGAGATAAACCGTCTTACATCACAGTTCAAGAAAAAAGACGTTTCAAGGGATGAATTCTAAACTTTGCATGACACTTCCTGGAGCCAGCTTGTTATTCATGTGCAACAGTTGTGCCCTGCAGCACAATGGACTGCACGAGGTGGAAGATGACAAAGAGACACAGGCGGGAGGAAGGTTGAGCAACGGTTGGAAGGCCAACCTACATGTCAGTCAGGTTTGTTTCGAAAGAGAGTGGGGGCAGGGATGCTATCAGACACTACATAATGATACAACAAGTGCAAAGTCAGTGCTACTGATAACCTTGAGTTATATTTACTGTTTTTGTTACACCTGCAGTCGTTTGACGTGTCTCTTTAAGAAAAAAACATCATAAAAAAATAAATCAATGTTCCCCACTGAGACTGTGTTTATCTACAGTTTCAAACTTTTTCAAGCTATTTAATTAAAAAAACAAAAACAAACATGAAATCTTTACTGTATGCTGTTGCTTATAATTAGCAGCATGTCTGGCCTTTGCTCTTATGAGGTCATTTATCTGCTGTTATTTTTAACTCAACAGGCTATTCACGTGTGTTCTTTGTCAGCAGCATTGAAGTCATGTAAATTAGAGGACAGGTTTCTCCAGAGAGGTCTGACGCAGATTTACTTTGTGACTAAAAGGTGCTGAGGAGTAAACAAAGATATTATAAACAATAAACATCAAATGGAATACAATACTTTTGATCTAACTGTCTGAGGGTTTGCTGTTGCACAAACTAAAAAAAGTGAATTTTAAATTGAAATGAGACAACAATACACCTATCATGTGTGTTATCTTAAAAAAAAAATAAAAAAAAGCATGATTAATTGTTGAAATATTATTTTTACTTAATGTATGCATTAATTAGAGACTTTAGGCTAGAAATGTGTTTTAATATATGGCTCGATAACACAGAAAACTAAGTTATGTGCTTCGGTTTGGTTAATTAGACAAAGGAGACTTGCCTCGTGTCGACCGTTAACCGTTAAATACACTTAAATAAAAGTAGGTCGGCTGTTTTTTTAAACCTCATTATCTTAAGACAAATTCAAACCTAAAAACAAGCAATACACCAGATTCAGGCAGTTAAACATGTCTTCAGCTACAGACACACACTGTTACCTTATGCAGAAGTTTCCAGATGAAGCTTCCTCTTCTGTTTCAAGTGGAGGAAAAACAAACAACAGAAAAAAAAAAAAGTATGGAGGACAAAATTATGTGTCCTGAACAACTTTAGCAGTACCTTTTTTTGACAATATCTACCCTCGAAAGGTTATGAAACATTAAGTGGGCTGAAATACAGCCGGGACATTTTGGCTTTCGGTGATGACAAAAACAAAGACTTCCAACTAGCTAACTGTAAACACAGAACCCATATATACTTGTCAGAGGAAAAAAAAAAAAAATCCATCCCACTGCGCCCACTCGGCTGGTGCTGCTGGTGCATCCTGGGTAATGGAGTTCTGTTTATGAAGTGGCGCTAAAGTTGGCTCCGTGAGGAAACAACATTTCCCACGTCCCCGTGGTTCTCCACGTGGCTTCCCTTTGTTTGCAAACAAACGCAACTTTCGGAGGAGAAAAAGTTCAAAACAAGATGTGACAGCGGTCGAGGAAAACACGGAAAGTTAATAGAAGTTATTACGCCTTATTTCTATAGACGTACAGAGCGTAGTTAGTAACGCATTACCAGCATTATATAGTGGACAAACGTCATTAAATATACATTATGATACTTAAAAAACAAAAAAACGCAGCCTTGGGGAAGCGTATTTACATAGTTCTACAGACAAATATACAATGAAATACATTCATTCAAAGGGTTTTGACTTGAAAAACATCTGGATGTAATGTGACCCTTTGTACACGTGAGAACAGGATGAAGCAGAATGTCACAATTTTTTTTTTCAGGTGAGAAGGAAGGAGGAGCCTAATTCGAACAAAGGATGTCACAACTTCCTCACCATGTTGCAAAATATTTCTAGGAGCTCCCAACTGGGTTCCTTGAAAGGGGGCCCCCCGATGTTTTCAGTGCCCAACAGCATTTTGAACCATGTGTTACTAGTACTGGCAAGAAACTCGGCCTGTACACATATTTCTTTACATATGAGTCAACAAACGGGTTGCAAATTAAAGAAAAATCTGGTTGATCCTGGTTGACGCTGTGGGGGACATTTTGCTGACACGGTTTGGTTCTACTTGCCCCAGTTAGAGGGAACCTTTAGAGAGTGATCGCCCTGACATGATGAAACATATAACTTTCATGATCTATTCCAGGATGACAATGCTACAGCCTTCACATTCACCAGATCCCAACCTAATTGTGAGATTTCGGTCCGTGTTAAGACAGCGTTCTTCACTGCTGTCATCAAAACACCAAATGAGGTAATATCTTTTGGTAGAACTCCAGTGTTGTTTCAGAGACTTGTAGAATCAATGCCAAAGTGCACTGACGTTGTTCTGGTGGCACGTGGAACTGGCAGCTTTATGCAAACCACGCTTTATGTTACTTCCTTTAATTCGCCACCGATCTGTGTATAACAAAAGGAATGATGATGGTCAAAGACTCACACGGTGTTGTGTTTGTATCCACCATTATTGTAAACCATAATCAGGAGTCCTCACAGTCACAAGTGTCTACAGGTACATTGAAAGGCCTGTTGCCACTACCACCAGTAACTCATACGGACGAAAACATTCACACGATGAGACACTCAATATCGACATCTCCAGGCCAATGACAAAAATTAAAGAAATAGAAGAACTTTGTGTAGGTTAGGAATGTGTGAGAATACTGCACATGGGTTTGTTTTGGCCTCCAGGCACCAGCTGTTTGAGTTTGCCAGAACAAAACCATGTAATCAGAGAAGACCGTGTGGAAGACGAGCAAGTTAGTGTCACTGACAAGAGCAAATGGCTTTGTGGAGATCAGATAAATCAGACAAACACAGACATGAATCAGACACATAGCATTACAAGACAAATTGTAACTACGCTGACGCCGGAAAATAATACAAAACCAGTCATTTATTAAGTGTGGCTTTTGTGTCTGATCCCCATGCAGATGTAGAAAGGCTGACAGAGAGCAGATGGTACCAAGCAAACACTGATAGAATCGCATTAGCTGCAGGAAACAGCAGGGGTGCAGCCCCAGCCGACAGACAAATGTGTCCCTCTGCTGTTGAACTGTTGCACCAGTTACAAATAGCACACGGCATAGGCAGAAATAAGTGCCTTACTCACCACCATCCACTGCTCCTCTTGTGCCTTAAATTGCCAAGTGAATGATCTCTTAATACATTTTTCTACAAGGCTTTGAAAGCAAATGGCGTTAAGTGCTTTGTTATTGTGGTCATAAAACCTTGGCTCAACATCAGGGCCTTTTACATTACATAATCATGATAAAAATTGCATGTTTGTGTTGTACAGTTTATTTACAAATGGCTCGAGAGCGTTCAACGCTGAGACATAAAGCTACAAAGCAAGTGTGGTGTCAGCATCTTCAGGCCAGTAAAAATCCCAAACAAAAAAAAAAAAGGAAAAACACAAGACAATTTACTGCTTCAAACTGACAAAACACACACAAGAGCACAGATTAAAGCTGTCAGGGATGTTGCATTACTAGCACATTTCACTGGTAGCTGTGATACATATTAATTAGGACAAGAAAAACGAGAGGGGTGCCCGGGCTGAAGGAGATACCACTTGATGTAAAACATGGACAGGGGAACAACTGGAGCTGTAGCTGGAACGCTGACAACATGTCCTTTGGGATGCTGGGGTTTTATCAAGCTGAGGAGGAGGCTGTGCTCTATATTTAGATGCAAATTACACATGGTATTTTGGAGTCACTATTTTTTTAAATTTGCAGGCCAAAATACACAAAGATACAGTGACGGGATCTTCGTGTTTCTTTGCTAAAATGACATTCTTGGCAACCTGTGTTTTGGAAAAGCATTGAGACAATTACATATATAAATATATATGGGGTCAACTTTTACAAACAATATATTTTAAAAGGAGTCTAGAAAAGTTAAAAAAAAACAAATAGTCCTTCAGGTGGCTCATCAAAAGAAAACTTCTAAGTGGAGTGAATTGCATTGTATTTTTAAAACCCTGATTCTTAGATATTATCTAAAAACGCATATTAATTACAAGCAGTACTAGTAGAAAAATGCAATAGATGTGAATGATGAAGCTTCTTCAGTGTCTTTATGACACAATGTTCGGGCTGAGCCTCCCGTTGCGCTGCAGCAGCATCATCAGAGTATCAGAGATCTCCCTGTATCTCAGCCCGTACAGATACGGAGCACACGCTCTGGGCAGCAACATGAAAACACACATGTTGACTGTGTTGACCCACACACGTAAATCTTGACTTATATCTTTCCTTTGGAACAAGTACAGCTCCATTATAAAAATAAAGCCGGGGACAAAGTAGAGCAGGAGCAGAACCGCGTGGGCCAGCAGCGTGACCCGGGCCCTGGAGAAGCGGCTCTGCCAGATTCCTTGCGTTCTCGTCACCATGTAGAGCCGAATGTAGCAGTAAAAAATCAGTAAGGCACAGATGACCGCTGCCACAAAGAAGTAGATGTGGACCCCCAACGTGTTCTGGATCTGAAGGAAGGAGAAGGAGATGAGAGCCAGACACACAGGAACCCTTTCGTGGGGATTTCGACTCTGTACTTCCATCAAGATTAACACGGTCAAAGGGTACAGGGCTGCCAGCACCCACATCCCCACCAGAATGCGGTGGGTGCGTGCAGGGGGAAGGATGTCGTGGTACTGGAGGGGCCAGCGGACGGCGGCGTAGGTGTCGACCACCATGACGGTGACGGTGAGGATGGCGGAGCAGTAGGCGGTGACGGTGACAGCCGTGATGAGCTCACAGACTCGCCAGTGTATCTGAGCTCTCACGGCGTTACAGATCACTATGGTCAGGTTGAGGATGAGGAAAATGATGTCTGCTGTCAGGGTGTTAGCCAACAGCAGATAGCGGGTCTCCTGACGCAAGGCGCGGGACAGGAAAATGCATATCAGGAGAACAGGGTTGGCCAGCAAGGTGGCTAGAGTGATAACTACAGTAGGTATGAAAAAAGAATCAAGGTGCCACCTCCGCAGACTCTCAGCCCACTCCTGTGTGAGGTTTAGCATCAGCGTTGACATTGTGTTTCTGAGTTAAGGAAGAAACACGGTTGATGATGGCGGAGGAGTGTTTTGTGGTGGGATCTCTACTTTCTCCAGCAGCCTCCTGTGGATGAAAATTCCAAGAATTAATAACAGAGTGGACAGTCTTCAAAATGTGAGCATATAAAATACATGGATGTATGCAGTCCAGTGGTTTGAACAGAAGCACAATTCAACATAAGTTATCACTATAACATCACTTTGAGCACATATGGGTCTCCACGTGAAGAATGAATTATGGAATCTAGTCTCTAGGCGCTCATATAACAGTCCAACTGATACTGATACTGTACTGTAGGCTGGGCAAACCTGTCATGTATGAAGTTTTTATGCACTGCTTTGACTGACTTGGTCTTGATTACAATTGCTTTGTGTTTTTTTAAAGGACTAGTCTAGATGAGTAATAAAATGAGCGGCCGGTAACGTGTTGTCAGAATTTAAATAAGAATTATATACAGTCATGGACTCTGCCCCTTGGGTGATACAAAAGAACACAAATGTAAAAGGGAAGTGGTGATAATTTATGTGATAAAAGAACCACAGAACAAACATAAACTGAAAACACACAGGAAATGCAGCATACAGAAGAAGCGAGTACACAACTGTCCATCGTCGTACTGCTGATTCAGAATTGTATCACCTCTTAATAACTGCATTATTTCTAAGTTGACAGAGTATTTGCTCTAATGAACAATCAAGAATCAATTCTTTACAAGGACTGTATTGAAAATATGGGCCTCTAAGTAGGCAGTCAATGCAACTAAAGTGAAAACACCTGTGATCATTGACTCATGAACAAACCTGGGATCACTGAAAGTAAGTGGAGTACAACTGTAATTTCTAATCAGCCTAATTGCATGAACATGGTTATAAAAATGAGCTGTGAAAAACAGAACTTTCTCGACATCATAGCACTTTGTAGAAAAGACTTGAAACATGTAATTCTGAGGCTTTACAAAGATGGAAAAGGATACAGGAAGATGGGTGACCAACCAAAAATCAGGTGAAACACAGTTGCAGAAGCAAATAGGAGATATAAAACAAGCCATAGGACAACTAGTCTGAGCTACAGTGGTTGTCAACATAAAACGACTCCATGGACTGTGCCCTGCTATCACGGTGTTCCTTTTTAAAACAGAAATGCTTCAGACTTGGCACAGGAGTTATCAATAGAGATAAGAGATAATGTCTTATATGGATGGCATCCAAGAAAAACACGCTTGCTCGCTCTTAGAAACAAAACTGCAAGATTACCTTTGCTAAATAACATGAAAACAAGCCAGATGGATATTGGCAGCGCATTCTTTGATCAGATGAGAGTCAGATAGTTTTGTGAGGTTCAGATAAGCTCAAGAATGTTTGGCATGAACCTGAACAGGACTACCACAGTGAAGGCACAGCTCTGACAGTGAAGCACGGAGGTGGGAGTGTGATATGGATCAAATGTTGTTGAGGAGATGATATTTACAGATAGCGCCACGAACGTCTGCGGATATACCAAAACACGAGCTGACAAAATGACTCTCGATCTGCAGAAGAGGAATTTTCCAGCGTGATAACAATCCAAAGCTCGCTGACAAAAATCACACAAGAGTTTCTCAGGAAGAAAAGTGTGAAATCGATGACCTCACCAGATATGCCACCAAATGTAAATCCAACAGAACATCATTGGTTTGTTTTAAAGAGCATTTTAAAACGACACAAGGCCTCAAGCAAAGAGCGCCTGAAATAAACTTCCTCAGAGGAATGGGAGAATATCCCTCTAGAAATTTGTGCAACCCTGATAATCCTCCATGCTGAGGGGGAATGAGTTTGTCATCAAAAATAAAGGTGAATATTCAAAGCATTCAAAATAACAATTTCAATATCAGTAGCAAAAACTGCACATTTGGCTACTTCTTACTGGGGGGCTGCACTGATATTATATCTCTTCACACATCTCCTAAATCAGGCGGGGCATCAGGGTTTAAGAGATAACATCTTTAGTGGAATATCATGATGCCACCACCTCCCTAAATACTTACAAATACATTTGTCACAAAAAAATGAATATTACTTGGATCTATTCAAACTTTGCATAAAAGCACTTATTGACAAATTATTGATTAACTAAAGAGAAGTGATCTTACCTGATGTCCAAACCTGAAACATCTGTCCGTGTCACACATCCATGAGGCTTAACTCTTCTATAAATCAATGGTTGTTTTATAGGACTCCTCTCACACGCCGGCCTTATCGGTACTCTCTGTTGATTCAAAGAGATAATATGGAGATGTGGAAAGCACAGCCACTTTGCTGTCACGTAGTAACGGGGTGGAGCTTTTCATCCTCATCAGTGCTCTTCATGCGCTTTCCTTTGCAGTGTTTCCTGCTCAAGAAGTTTAAAAACTAATTTTGGTTTAATAACGCATCTGAAAACCACCCAGATTGTAAATTCACATTTCCTTCTTAATTTCAGTGAAAGCTGAAACATCAACCACGAAGCCAATGAAATCTCTCAAACTGCTTTCATTCATGGAATAATTTAAGAAAAGCCCCAAACCCTTTTTTGATCATTTATATTAGTAATAATTTTAAAAAGTATGGGAGGAATATCTCACAATGTGCACACTTGCTGTTAGAACGGGTCCACATAGTGCTGATCCATTAGCTTGACCTCACAGTCTGGTCATCACGTCTCACATCCTGATGACGCCACTGAGATAAACATAAAAATCAACTCCACGTGAAAAGATTCACTCCGTTAAAGAGAGCAGTCTAGGTAACAATAATCAAAATATTATGTTGCCGTGTTTGTTTTAGATAGGAATATTCCACAACTTAATAACAACCCTCAGGGAACATTTTATTGATTATATCAGATGATTCATTCTCTCTAATCGTGTCATTTCACAGAAAATATTTCAGCATCTCTCAATTCACTCATTTTTTTCTCCTATTCATATATCCTCTTTTTCCTCTGTTCTGCTCTTCTTCATCGTCATCTTCTTCGTCATCATCAGCATCACTATCAGCTTCAATCTTGCCCTGCTGCAGCTCCTCTTCCTGCCACTCTCTTGATAACAGTTTCTGAAACACACCATACTCCTCTGCTGTCGCCTGGGCAACATGTGTGAGGAAAGCGTCCAGGTCAACGTTAAGGATGCTGTCCATTTTGGGGTTTTTGATGATTGTCTGTCCTTTCTTGTCTGGGGTTTGGTAGAGGCCCCGTCGCTCCAGAAAACAGTGCCGACATCGCACCTCATCCAGAGTGAAGCGGAACAGCCTGAACTTCACCATCTCTGCCTGTTTGATGCCCATTCGGAAGTACGCATACTGTGAGAGATAAGATAAAACGTGATGTTATAAACAAGAAATTGAAGAAAGTTTGACAGAAACATGAGAAGATAACTCCAAACAAATACTTGTAATACTTGTAGTTATTCTGATTCAATGTAATCACAGCAATAAAGCCGATATTATACTTTGCAATATGGCACATATCAGCTTATTAGTGGCTAAATGATTAGATATGATGTAAAAGCAGAACAAAACCTCACATGAATCATGTTTGCTCTATTCTGTAGACACAAGCAAGTCATGCACCACTTCATCAAAAATACTGTTCACATCCACTTGCAGGCACCAGGGGGAGCACTACAGCTGTGCCACAACCCTACACAACACACAAGTACTGAGCAGGTTTTCAGGATGTTTTGTGTTCACACTGGAACCTGAGAAAATAAAACCAGCATGGATTTACAATATTGGCCCGTGCTGCTTTGTACACAGGAATTAGAGAAGCTTCTTCCAGGCAGAATAAAGTCAAATCTGTAATATATTTATGAATGCACCCATTAGTCACAGCATGAAAGCCACTGACATCTAAAGTGAATAATGTTGATTATGTTTTCACAGTGACAATGTGGGATACGAGGCAGCCCGTGAACAGTCAGTTCTTCAATCTGATGTTTTTAAAGCCAGAAAACTGGGAAAGCATACAGATCTGTGCAGGGTGTCAGTCAAGTCAACTTTATTTTTATAGAACATTTAAAAACAACCGAGGTTGACCAAAGTGTTTTACAAGTTTACAATGGTAATGAAACACAATATGTGAAGAAGGTAAACAGAGCAGGACAAACAGTGGCATATGTCAAGGTGTCAAAGCTCAACTTCTATTAAAAAGCCAGAGAGTGAATACACTGCTCAAAAAAATTAAGGAAACATCTAATCGTCATAGTATAACGCCAGTTCAACTAAACTTCTGGGATATCGATCTGTGTCGTTAGGAAGCTTAAGTGATTGTAAATCCCCCCTCAGTGGGTTAATAAGTTTGGCTTCCACTGTCCATTCTTATGCCATCTTGTACTAATTAAATGACACATTCTTATGTAATCTTGCTTGGCAGGTCAGAGTTGTTTTAACGGTGCAACCGGGACCTACACAATGGTAGGCAGGTGGTTTTACTGTTGTGGCTGATCAGTGCATATCTATTTATACATGTACCTTGTTTTTTTTATACAGCTGGGATTTAGCTAATTTGACTAAAACCCCTGGTCATTGTTGTCTTTTACAACTGTCCTTGACTATAATGTTTAGTCATGGTTTCAGGAAGTCAATACATCAGCATTGGTCCACTGTGTAAACAACACTTCACAATGGAAACTGCTGCCTGACAATAAATAGCACATAAAACAGAAAATTCAGTGTGGTTGTGTTGACATTGCATGTTTTGTCTGTCCAAAAACTAAAACCTGAAGAAAAGTCAGTGCCAGCTGTTTTTAAAGTGTTACAACTTCTTTTACTTACTGACCTGAAACTTGTACTCCAGCTGATCCAGGTCCTCCAGTACGACTGCTGGACTGCTTCTGAGGATGTCTGTGACCTGCTGGGTAGTAAACAGGCACCTCTCTTTGAGGAACGCCACCACATATTTTACTGTCTTCACAGGCACAGTCAGGATCTTGGGGTAATAGGCTACCATTCTCTGAAGACTGCCTGTTGGGGGGGAAATAAAGGAAAATGTGGGTTTGGGTCACATGGAGCACTCAGAGCATTGTCTGCCTCCTCCTAAATGATAAACTAAGCAGCACACAGACTATAATCTCACCTTCACCTAAGCCGTGTTTCCGCAGATTGCTTATGCGCTGTTGAAGTTGTGTTTCTCCGACAGTGAGCAGTTCGGGACATTTGTCCAGCAGTTTCTGCACATTGGTGGGGTTCAGCCCCAACATAAACAGAACTGTGAGCGTTGACAGAGTATGTTTGGCAGCACCTCCTCCTCTGACACTGGACACAGACTCAAACATCTGCTCTGCCTGGGTGTCTGTAAAACCCATATCAATCAGTGAGCGCAGGGACAGCTCAGGAACTGGTTTCCTTGTGAGCGGAGAGACTTCATGGTTGTGCTCTGAGCTCTGGTTGGAAGAGGAACACAACAATCTGCATAGAGACTGGAGGCAGTATCTCTCAGACTGGAGAGGACTGAACACAGAGGAGGAGGCATTTCTCACACTCCACCGAAGAATCTGCGGAAAGAAATAACCCTTTAAAGCACTGACAGCAGTTGAGTCCGTGATAAAGAGAAGTATAGAGGAAATGTGCTGATAAACCTGCTGTGCTAGCATTAGCTACAGTTAGCAAACATGAAGGTTAAAGCCGACCGCTGGTTAGCCTAGCGGTTTTTTAAACACATTGCTGAATATAGTGCTTCATTACGTTAAACGTTTTAAAACTGCAATCATGTTAAGTCGAAATGATATTACAATTATCATACTATGCATCATTTTAGCTCACCTGACGCACAGCAACACGGGTACACATGCTTGTCCGTCGTACATAATGTTCCGTCCTCACGAAGGTGTTGAGAGCAAAGGTTCCGTTACGCGCATGCTCACAGCCGAGTGAAAATGTTGAGTTTAACAAATATGATGGATTAATTTTCACAAACTGCACCATAAGACTCGCTTTTTCCCGCTGCAGTTACAGATTTTGGCAAAGTTTTAATAGTTGTTCAGAATTTTTTGAACTTGCCAAAAAACAAACGCATTATAAAAGCGACTGGAGTTAATATTTAGGTTCTCCAGGTAACAAATTATTCCTCTTGGTGCTTTCTAATAAAGCCTATCCCTACTGTGTATTTCAGTTATAATCAGATGAGCAGCACTGCATTGATTTTTTCATGTATGTCTACAAACACAAATGTAGTTCATACCATTAAAAAACAGATTGGTCCTGTATGGTTATTTAAGGTACCATATTATTCTATTGGTTTGTTGATATTATGAAATCGACTCATCAGGGATTCATGAATCTTTTCTCTCTACATCCACACTTTGAAAATAAGTCTTGGAATTTATTGTAACCCCTGACAGTCTCCAATTAATGATCCTCTTCACATGATGAATTCTTTGCATTACTACTCTACTGACAAATACAATCTACTGAAAACATTTTGAAAATCTGCACACTCAGTGCCAGTTAGTCACACAACTGTCATTTAATATGTTCCCAAGTCTGAGTTATTGTGTCACTTGCTGTATGCTGGTAGGTTATAAAATTCAAGTACCTTTACAATGTTTTCATGAAAATCAAAACCATCCTGTGGCTCCATGCAGTTCAAATCAGTCAAATCAAAAGAACAATGTGTTTGTGGTGAGATATTTATTAATGTATAAAAATAAATACATAAAATATTGTAAATATACTTACACTTTTAATTAAAATATCCAAGATTAAAACTGGGAAGATAAAAAGGCCATCTGTTAAATAAGTGTGGATCAAGACTCCATTGATCTGATTTCTGAGGTTTGTGAGGTTAACAGCAAAAGGATGTGCTCACTTGTGGGTTTTGGTTGCAAAGCCATTAACTGTCACTATAATTGTGCTGCTTCAACTATGCCTAAAATGCAAAGAATAAATAAAGCAGATTAAATAAATGATACATTTCTGCAGATACACCAAATTGTATTTGCCTTCTTCTGCTGCTTTGAGAAATCTGTCAACAGGCACATGATGACTGATCAGTGGTGACAAAGGCAAAAGTCCATTTGTCTGAATGATTTGGTCTCGACAGTCGGGTTCTATTTCTGACTCAGCTTCCTGTTTCTTATTGTGCTGTTCATATCCGTGTTGACTCCTGCAGAATAAATGTTGGATGGATAGTTTGGGCTTTACTCTCGTCAAAATGCAATTTTCAGTCCTCATGGAGGTACTTCTGCAGCTCAGACTCCAGGGCCACCATTGACATCCTCTCGTCCTCATCTTCCACCTCGTCCTCATCCTCAGGCAACGTCTCATCAGCGTCATCTGGGAACAAGCCTTGTTTGATGTACACTTTAGGACTGGGTTCTTGATACTGTGGTGAGCCTGTTTAAAAAAAAAAAAAAAAAGAGCAAGTCCTCAGTACATTAAAACATGACTGGCCATTGTCAGTCTAACTTTAGTGTTAAAGCATACTCACAGATGCTCTGAGTGTCAGGAACCACCTCTGCCCAGCTGTATTCTGCAAGAGAAATGGGCTGGCTGATCCAGGACTGCAGCAGCAGCTGGTCTAAAGTCATTCTCTTAGTGGGATCACGGTGCAGCAGTCCACGTAACACACCATGCAGTTCTGCGAGTGTACACAGAAATTCAGAGTAGTTCGTGGAAACTGAATCTATACATTTTTTTGTGAGTTAATCAACTAAAACTACTTGCAGCCAGCAGCAAAGAAACAATGACATACCTGGAGAGAGACGGAAGGGAGGGTTTAGTTTGGCATCCAGGATCTCGCCCACACCACAGAATGGGTTCTCACTGAACAGCAGAGTGTAGAGCAAAACTCCCAGAGACCACATCTCCAGCTCTGGACCTTCATAGCTACACAAAAATGTGGAAAACAACCATTAAATAAAATAACCTACATTCCACATCTGGGTGTAATGATTTGAGTGAAACGCTGACATATAAAGGGACACTTGCTACTCATCTTTCAACCTAAACTGACAATAAAACTATATAGGGAACAAACGGGACTTGTCATTCGCAGCTATTATATACTCACGGATTTCCCTGAAGCACCTCCGGGGAGCAATATTCCAGTGTGCCACAGAAATTGTAGAAGAGCTTCCCGGGAGCCATCATGGCAGCAGAGCCAAAGTCTATCAGTCGGATGTGAAAACACTTGTCGATTATGATGTTCTCATCTTTTATGTCTCTGTGAAGGATGTTTTTACTCCTCAGATAGAAAACAGCAGCAACCAGCTAGAAGGAGAAATTAACAAGGAACAGAATCACAAATCACATTCCAAAGCCTGTTCTCCTGTCATGTGTATATTTTTGGGCCGTGCACATACCTGTCTAAAGATGTAGCTGGCCAGAGGCTCATCCAGCCGTGGCTGCATGTCTATAAATTCAAAAAGGTCCAAACCATCTCCGTGTTTCTCCATCACCATCTGAAAATAACTCCCATTCTCAAACACCTCCAGCACCTAGTGGCACACACATGAGCAAAGCGACTTATTATTATGAACAAATGTTTTCTGAAACTTGGTGACTGAAGTGTTCTGATGTAACAACCCAATTACCTTGACAATGTTGTGGTGCTGCACTCGTGTCAGTATGGCAACCTCCTGGCTCACTCGTCCCAACATGGGGTCATCCACCCAGCAGTCACTCACTATTCGGGTCTTGCTAATGAACTTCACAATCACCTGCAGATGTAAGTTGGTAAAGTGGCGATACGGTCACAATCCTCGCTCCTGAACAAAGCTACACTTGCACAGAAATTGCTTCACTCTGTATTAGTAGAAATTGTGTATTTCTGCATGAAAAAAAATGTTGTCTTACTTCTTGTCCATCACAGTGCCTTACTGCCTTCCAGACAAAACCAAAAGCTCCTTTACCCACAGCTTTGAGTGGCTGGTACTCTTCTGCAAACTGCCCGTCACAGGCTCGAGACTGCTCGAGGTCCATGGTGGAGCGCAATGCTTCACCTGGACTGGCCTCACCAATCCTCTGAAGGAAGGAATGAGTCAATGACGAATGAGTTGAAAGCTGTACAACCATTTTTATGCTTAAAAAAGAATTATAATGTGCCATATTGACTTAAGATCTTGTCAGTAACTGACCTCTCCTGGACTGGCTGCTGATAGATTTTGCAGGGATCGATCTGTTTGCAGCAGTGCCCCCTGCTGGCCGGGCCGACTCATCCACACACAGAACATGAAGCCTCCATCAGGAAGGTTGGTCCTGCACACATCACACTGCACATCTGGAGAAAGAAAACACTGTTATTCTCTATTCATTTCTCACGTTTTTTTATGAGGAAATCGTAAACACTTGATACCAACCAACTCTTGTGCCATCTCTGTGGTATCCACTTCCTTGGATTTTCCCCTCGAGTATCTGTGTGGTGTCTGAGGACAGTCTGTGTCCATTCACGTTCCGCTTTTTAGGAGTCGACGTGGCGGGAACGTCTTCCATTGGCTGAATCTCACTATTAATTTGTACACAGCACTCTTGGCTCTTTCCTTTATGAATCGCAGAGAGAGCTGCCCACTGATCCTGCTCGCCCTGCTGCTTTTCTAGCTCTTCGCTGGCGCCGTTTCTGGCTTTAACAGCAGAATCCCGAATGTCAACAGGCTCTGCTTCCTGGTCAGACTCCACCATGCACGGGGAGGGTGTACGCAGGAGCTCGGCTGTATCACAAGAAGTCATGGAGTGTTGGTTGTCATCGTTGTGCTCTCTGCGAGTGAGCACCTCAATGCTACTGCTGAGGTCAAGGTCAGCTAGGGCCCGGGTTACCAGATCACCATTGCTGTTGAGGTCCAGGAAACAGCTGGCTGAGTCGAATATATGTGCTGAATGACAGTCCTCCGCCTGGGCTGGATCAGAACCAGCATGGCCAGCAAACTTTTCACAGAAGCCAGAGGAAGATCTGAGAAATTAAATTTTAATAAATCAATTACATAGTGTAACAACTTCTGGCATATTTTTTCATAATAAACCCATCGAGTTCATCAAAAGGAGGTGGACAAATGTGAACATGCCTGAAGAATGTTTTCTGTCTAATCTCAGCCTGGTATCTCAGTAGCTTTTAGGGCTTGTGCATTGTACCCACATTGCTGAAAAAAAAAAAAACTCCTCACCTGCTCTCCAGTGAGATGACCTCAAAGCTTGAGTCTTGGAGGACAGAGGTACACGAGTGGTGGTCCTTTCCTACATCAGGAGACTTGCCGCTCACTTTGCCAACAGCATGTCTATTCTGAGCAGAAGCATCTATAGACAAAGAAAAAACATCAGTCTGTTACTTATTCCAATTTTACAGAACTTGTCTTTTTTACATTTGCTGCAAATACAGTATGTACTGCAGTTCTGACCAACGTTTGAGTTGCATGTTACAACTACAGACAATTAAATGTAAAGAAGAAAAAGATACATATAGCCACACCACACCTGAGATAACCTGGATGCCAGATGCACCATTTTTCTGAACCCCATTGGCCAGCTGCTGTCGTCTGTTATGGGGTGATGGCTCAGGTAGAACCAAGCAGCAGGTATCTTCTCCAGGAGGCTCCACCCAGGCAAATGTCTGGAGGAGTGCCTGGGTGGTATCGGCACTATCTAGCTGGCTACTACAGGGAGCCACCTGGGCCGCTTCCTCCATCAGCTCTGTAGTGTCATTGGCCCTGAGGAAAGAATGGTTGCTTAAATTCAATTGTTCCAACAATATTTACAAGTCTGCCATGAAAAAAAAAAAAAAAAGCGTGCATACATGCACACACAGTATGAAATTTCTAACAGATGTCAGGATGTCATAGATCTTATATGTTGGTCTAGAATAAAGGCTGAAGACCATTTAAATCTTTTAGTCTCATCAATCATACGATAGAGAAGGTTATAAACCAATAAAGTACTGTTCGAGGAATCTATTCTATTATCTCTCTACATATCAGGTCCATGACCATCGCTAGTATTTCAAACTTTTCTTTAACTTATGCAGACTTTTGTCTGCCTACTCATGATTAGACTTGGCTAAACCCATATAAATATTGTTTTAATTGGCCCTTTATTTGCATACCAAACATGCTGTGATATTATTTGTCCAACAGATGGCAAAAGAGGACATATAAAATATTGTAAATGCAGATTCTGAGATTTTCCAGTTTCATAACTATTAACAAATCAGTCAAATAAAATCAAAAGCACTCAAATAAACTGTAGTAAAAGCTTTCTTAATATGAGAAAGATGTAAAGACTTTTACTATCCCTGCTGGCTGGTCAGGGACACAAACAGTGACCACAGAGTTGCTGTGTTTCCAGATTTACTGCAAAGCACATTAAATATGCATGCACTCTGCTGCTTTTAGGTGCCTGATTGTTCCTACAGCAGCTTTTGTCTGTCCGAAATTTGAGAGAATACAAATTCCGCTGAGTGTCTTCAATTAGTTCTAACATCTGCTAGCATATAACCTTCTGTCAGAGTTAAACAAGGTTACATTCAGGAAGATTATTACCCTTTGGGGATATAGTCACTGCCTCTTAAGTAAAAAACATCCAGCCTGCTTTTGACAACAAGCCCATAGTGCCTGCTAACTTACATAACCACACGTGTGGAGGTAAGTGCCGGAGGAGAGAGAGTAGACAGAGCGCTGCCTTGTTTCTCCAGCCTGGTGCTGGTTCCAGTGAAGATTCTGCCTCTCCCTGTTGAGGTCCTTCCCAGGATAGCCTGACGCACCATGGCCATGTCTCCCGCCACAAGCAAGGAAGGGTCTAAGGTTGAGAGAATGAGGGAAATGACTAAATGATGCACAGTAAACAAATAATATTGCATGACAAGACACAATAGAAATAAATCTGGGCTAAAACAACAGAGTAACAGAACAGTCATGACTTAAATCGCTGAGAGGGGCCCATGAAAAAACCCAAAACAAAACAAAGCATAAAAAAAACAGTCTGGTAAGACAGATATGACATGTTGCAATTTTTTTGTATGAGTTACATAAGTAATCACAGCAAGTTGGTTGTAAATCATATACTGTCACGCTATAATTTGTCACTATAGCATACAACTGCATACCAGATCTTCCTGACTTTTTGGATGAGGCTGGACTTCTACCAGCGTCTACATGAGAATCAGAGAAGGGGCTGGCCTTTCCGTCTGACATCCATCCATAGAAACCAGGCATCAGGAAAGTGACATTCTGTTGATGACAAAGCAGCAGTGACAGAAGTGAGAGTTGGCACGGTCCTCAGTCTGAACAGCCTTGTTCAGCCGGTCATGTTGGCTAACCTTTCCCAGCAGCTCGTCCTTGCTGTAGCCAAACAGACTGAGCGCCACATGGTCGTGAATGCTGAAGATTGAGCCGTCAGGGTGGAGCAGGAGGAGGCCGCTCACAGGAGCAAACACCCAAACCGTTCCACAGTACTCCAGTGCTGGGCTGGGGGAGAGGACAATGCTGTCCACTTTGACCTCTGGGAAAGTACAGACACACATTCAAGGTGCACATTCAGAAACAACAAGTACTGTTTATCTGAATACAGCATCGAGTGAACAACATTTTTAGGTTACATATAGTGTTTTCAAGGGTCTCAATTTCCAAATTGTTGATTGGTCTAAAGTTTCACATATCAAATCAGTTTGACACACAAAAGTCAAGTAGGTTTGAGGATACTATTCAACTAGTGCACACTACAGCTCTTAGACATAAAATTATGCACCTCCAAACTGTATTGTCTTATCGGCCTTTGTGAATATGCAGTTGTAAGTTAATCCAGCGGGTTTCTGTACAGTTTGCACATCTAAACAAGATTCAATAACAGCATGCAGCACAACCCAACTTCTCAGCAATGTTTGCCAGTTACATCACATTTTGATTCCTATTCCAAACAAGGTTTTCTTTTTTTTTTTTTTTTTTTAAATCCTCTACACATTTTAATGTAAAGTCATGGGTTCTTAGACGGCAAAATGATTGAAGGGTTCGTGGGATAACAGTGTGCTATAGTGGATTAGGCACCAGTTTCCTCAAACTAATTTTGGGTGTGTATTTAATCCTTGTGCGACCAACCCACAGGTCCCAGCTTAGTCTTAACATCCAACTAAACAACATACCTGAGGACTGCTCTTTTCCAAGAGCTGGTTGCTCACAGTGCACAGAGTGTGAAGCTTGTTTCTTGCACACAGAAGAGCATGGCTGCTTGCCCTCTCCATTTGACATTTCAAGACTTTCTGCTGGACAGGTACAAACAGTCCCACTCCCACTGTTTAGGTGCTGGGGTTTTCCACACACTACTGCCCCCTGAAGTTTGACACACAGAGGGACTGATGCACCTTCTCTGCTTTTACCACACACTCTCTGAACCCTGAGCATCTGAAAGAGGGAAGAAAAAGCAAAGTCAAACATTGCAGACTTACAGAAATACCTGAGCTTAGAAAGTTTAGGGAAATCATTTCATTTCTGTCCCTCTAAAATGCCTAAGAAGCATATTGGTAAACAGGAACTTGAAAGCAGAGGTTAACAACGGGAGCTTTCCTTAGCTGAGTGGAACAGTTTCAGTTGTAAAGTGTGCTTACTTTGGGCAATGCATAACTGCGGAGAGGGATTTGTAAAGAGGGGATTAGCTCCTTAACATACGCTCCTTTCAACTCCTCAGGATGGTGGTATCCATGGAGATGGGCAAATGCCAAGTCACAGGTTAGGATCCTGCCCTAGAAATGAAATCAAATGTGAATATCTAACATATACAAATATATTTACAAATTTAAAAAGGAAGTAAAGAAAAATCCCACAATTAAGTGTTCTAAATAATGCTGTACTTACATCTTGTGAAAAGGACAAAAAGGCTGATACCCTTTCCACATTTTCCATCATGAGAATCCAGTCCTCTTCATTTTGTGACTGGCTGTGTGTACACACAGACACTGGCACTTCTCCAGATAATGTCACAGCATCCAACTACAGAAAAATCAGCACATTAAGCATACAAAACATGCTTGTAAACATATACAATTCTTTGAACAGTTGTACAAAAAACGTAAAGACATTCATTTGAATGGTGGTTTGATTTAATCGTGTTTTGAGGAAAATTTAGTGATTCAGTATGTGGTATGTTTCATACCACTTTTCCAGAAACTGCTGCAATAGTTCCATCTGATAGTGGAAAATCTTCTTCCAGTGCTTCTTCCAAGACTTGACTGGTTTTCTTTAAGATAGCGGACAGCTTCTTCCCAATCAGCTCATTAGTGGTGCACTCAAACAGTTTGCATGCTTCTTCATTGACTGACAAAATCTGAAAAATTAAGATAAAAGGAGACGCTAAAACATATTTTCGGTCAATAATTCCAATAACTGAAGTACTGTTTAACTGATGCTGTTGTCAAGCACCACTGCTCCAATTAAAAGCACACACAGTACCTCTCTGGTTTTCTTATTGACAGTAAGAATGACTTTGTTTGGGTTGATGGCAGCTGGATTTCCCGGTAGGCCAAAATCTCCAGAGATTAGCTGACTGAAGAGGCTCTCCTCTTTCTCTGACATGGTGAACGGGCGTGGCAGGGACTCAGCAAAAACCGGGGAGCCATAAAGTAAGTTAGAGATTTGGTGATTTCTTTGTGCCACAGACGTGCAAACATCCAAATGATCCCCTGCAAGCAAAAATTAGGGTCAAAATGAACTTAAACTTAACTCTCATCCTGATAATTAGGGAAGCAACAATTATTATTCCTAATAGCGCAAGGTGTTATCTTCAAATGGGTTGTTTTCACTAAAAAAAGGGATAGATATAGTCAATATTCTTTATTCAGAGATACAGAAAACAGCAAATTTAAATGTTAGGTGTTAGTATTTTATAAATTATTGAATTCTGAATTACCACCAAAAAGATTAAACTTACCTGTCAAAGAGCCAGGATAATAACGACGTTGCAATGCCAAAAGCCTTTTCTTGTACAATGGCCTCCGAGTACATGGGTAGGACTTGTTCATGTCAAAGTCATCTTCCAGGAGATCAGAGGAGAGGTCTGGCACCACACATATAGTCTGTCCTTTATCGCTGAAGCTTTGGTTAGCCGCAAAATGAGCTTCGGTCGAAAGCGACATTGTTGTTGCTCCAGCTGGGTCTGACAATGACTGGTCAAACTATAAACCGTAGACAGAATGATTGAATTGCAGTGATATTGGTTTAGAAAGACTGGTTAACTGAGCAGCAAAGAAAATTCTTTATTGAAAACAATGAGTTGCTTAAGTTCTAGCGTTTGAATAAAAGAATAAGTCCGGCATAACACTCACCCTAGCTCGTGTCCGGCCTGTATTTCCTAGCTGTTAGCCTCTGCAGTTTCAGTTGACGCTAGTTGACAAGGTAACGTTACCTCCCTGCGCTACCCAGCTAGCTAGCCATCTACTAGCTCTGCTGCTAACGCGACTATAAACAAACTCGGTCGTGCTCCGTTCTGTTCCAAGGTAGCAGGGTTTTCTCGGTTTATTTTTTCTGGTTTTATTAATAGTCGACGTTACCGTAACATTCGGACAACTTCGACGCCTTGCAACCAGGTCAGCCTTGGTTAAAAGCAGATTTTATTGCTACTACTTAACTTGATTCAGCAATGTTTTTTGTAAGCCGCGGGCTTCGCGCGCCAGTCGAGGAGGCGATTTGAAGGAAGTCTCCAGCAGCCAATCAAACGGCACGTTTAAATTCTGGAAACGCTCATTGGATAATTAACCGGAAATGCCCGCCTTTGTTACCAAGGAGACACTGTCACAAAAACAATAACACAATAATAAATAACACTGCACGAGGAAATGTCTCAAAAGCATATCTGTCCATTAGTCAAAAAAAGTTTTATTTCATCATTACAGAAAAACAAAACAAAACAGACAAACCTCAAAAGTAAAAATGACGAACTTTTTAAACAAAAAATAATAAATAAGCATACAATAAGCTTTAAAGGTCCCATTTTCAGCAAATTAATGAAAGTTTCACACATGTTTAGATTGTGTCTTTCTTCAGCTCAGAATACTGCAAAGATGGTTCATTTGACCATGACTGTATAACTGTTTTTAGCCGTGTTCTAAATGGGCTGTCCCAGTGTCAGTAGCTTTAAATGCAGCTGCACTGTTGCTGTTGATGCCTGCTTCAGGAAGAAGACTCTCTTTGCTTATGTGTGGGATGGGGAATTTCTATGACTTCTAGCTTTCTCTATATTGCTGCCAAATATTACTTTATATCGGACACCCATTTTTTAAAACTCGTGTATGGTGAATTTGTCAGGCAATGTTGCAGTAATAGAATCCATATTTTAGAGGTGCAGCGTAGCAGCACTGTGATCTTAATGCTCTATGTTTCAGTTTTATTTTGTACTTGTTCCATTGTATGACAAGAGAAATATGAAGATATGTAAATGAGAACAGCTTTATCGAGAATTTGGACATTAAAATGGAGCACATGTGAGCAGAGAGAGCAGGAGAGAAGCAAACAGATGTAAACACTGAATGAGTTTAAGTTGCACTTGTGCACAACTAGCAGGATTAAAATACAGTAACTCATGCAGTCCTTGCTTACTGGTATCAAGTTGTCTTAAAATTTCCACCATCTCTGAATGTCTCTCAGCGCTACAGTTTAAACAGTGCTCTGATTTGGGCACATAAGATCAAAGCTAATGTTAGCCATGTTAGCCATACAACATGCTGAGACTTAGGATTTTCCAATTGTGGTGACATTGCCATTAAAAGTAATAGCAATTCACTGGATCTTCAGTTCCTCAGATGCAGGGAGTGCCTGTTGATGCTTGTGTTCACTCTTGCACCCAACAACAGAACATTTGGCGTGGTTTGCTCATGGCTGAGACAATTTAGTTAGCAGAAGCAGCTCTAAAAAGTAAAAAAAATAAAAATACAAATCTGTGAGGTATCTGTTCATTCTGGCTCTCCTGGCAGTGATCGTACGTACAGGGGCGGATCTAGAGAAATATTAATGGGGTGGCAAAGGGGTGGCATACAGTCCTCTGTTCTTTCCCAGGGTTAAATGCCATTCCTTATTTTCAGCAACTGCTGGTTTTAAAACTTTATGATCGACGTCATGTCAGTGCGTGTTTTCATATTGACAGCACTGTAAGTAAACTTCGAGAAGCATGATAACTTTAACATGCCCCATTATAGATCTTATACAGGGCCGCAACCCTCGCAATAGTACTGTCAGTTAATCTTCAGTTTATTATTAGTGCCATTCTGACCTGATCTCCATTGTTTCTTGTTGCTGGGCGCACCCCTAACCTGCGTCCACATCCCAGTTTGATTTACACGATCCAACAGCCTGCCCCGCCCCGCCCCCCTGATGACAGCCCTCATTGCTTTCTCCACACAACCACTTGATAAATGCCTGATTATAAAACACACATTTCAAAACTGGAGTCTGTCATTAGCAATGCGGGACAACGTCTCAATTTGTGTGAAAGGTGATGGAAATGCGTGACTGTCCCGCACAAAGTAGAACATCTGGTCATACGTAGCATTTAGGTTAAATTTGTACGGGCCTGTAAAGCTGGAGACCATCTAGTTTCGGGGGGGCTGAGATATTGCAGAATCATCTTCATATCTTCACAGCTTTTACTTCACACCTCCGAGTTTATAACAACCACAAAACACAATAACAGTAGATTTTCACCGTATGGGACCTTTAAGCTGATTTATTGTACTGGGTTAGAAAAAATAATGCACCCATTACATGAATAGAAAATAATCATACATCTTGAAAACATATCACATGAGAATTATGAGCTTTTTATTTCCATGTACAAATCTGATGGACGACACCAAAATACATGTTTGAACAGACAAAACATAATAAAGATAATCCTGTTACGTAAAACTGGCATCTGGGAGAAGTTGGGTAAAAATGCAATGCGTTCCAGGTGCAATTACTGCAGGGGTCCATATGGTGTTGTTTTTCTTTTAACCGAGTCACTTCATTAGCTACATGGTTTTGTTTGTTAGATCCATAAGCTCCCCCTCAGGAGGATCGTCTCTCCAACTCCGACTAGACAAATGGTTTAGCCACAACACAGACTGAAATTAAATGAGTCAGACTTTATCACCACAGACAGAGAGTCTGGCGGAGTACAAACTAAAAGGGGTTGAAGGGTCCCAGTAGGAAAGTACACTCTGCAGTGTTTTTGCATAAGTAAAAAAGAAAAAAAAGAAACAACATAAGGAGACAGGAATCTCATTCTGACATAGCTGCTTATTTAGGAAATATATATATGTATATATCTATAACAGTCAGGACAGATGTTTTGAAACATGTTGTTAAAATTAGCTCTCTTGGTTTTTGCGGAAACATAGTGAGAAGAATTTCAGCTCATCCAGTACTGACACAACACATCATGTTGACAGGCCAGCTCCAGCTGCAAATGAGGAGTGTTTATCCCGTCTGCTGAGACCGGGCCGAATTATAAACATTACCAATGAATCTTTTTTCTTTTTTTTCTATACACACCACAAACATCTAGTAAGGTAGGTTTGTTTAACATTAAGAACATTTTGATACAGATCTTCTTTTTGTTGTGTACTTACTGCACTTTCATGAGTTTAATGTGATGCTTTTTGGGGGGGGTAATAAGTTCCTCTAAAGTTTTCTTTACTTGCACTGACAGCCATATTCACAGAAGTAATTTGAACAAGTGTTATGTCTAAATTACGTAATATTTTGCTTTCATGAATTTATGGTTCAGCACTTTCTGCACATGCAGTTTGTTGGAGTGGAAGAGGTTTTCACACCAGAAATCGTCTCTAGCCGGATCCTCTAACTTTTGTTTACTCCAGTGGCTGCCTGCTTATAGCTGTAACATGCATGCTTTGTCAAGTAGCTCACTTTACATTAATGAGTACTGGTTGAAGGAGCCAAGCAGAACACATTGCACAGTCACACGCACTGTCATACGCGCACGCGCACACACAAGCAGTCTTGGCCACACCTTTTTATGGTGCCATGGCTGTGAAAAGTGAGCTTTGATAAGCTTTTTGAGCATAGTTCTCTAATGGTGGTAGTCCTTTTTACTGTGTGGACGGTTGCCCAGTATATGATCCACTTCTGAGGCGATGCCTGCTGTCATCTTTGGAATTACCTGAAATGCACGAAACAAAGAAAGATGAGTGTCGAGACTGTGTGAAAGACCAGGTAATGAAATGATTATACAGTATTAGCCAGGCTTGAAAATCTCTTTGTACCTGAATGGCTCCCAGGTTCTCTGTTAGTTGGCTTGGATTGGAGGAACCCAGAAGCACTGAGCTCACCCCCTCATTCCTTAGGCACCAGGCTAAAGATCAGGGATAGGAGGATATCATTGGAAGTCTTATAAGAACAAAAATTAGCTTTGACAGAAAGTGACTTTTACCTATGGCTAGCTGTGGCAAAGTACACCCGAGCTTCTCTGCGATATGAGCCAGGTCTTTTAGTTTAGCCTGCTGTTTTCTCCCATCCTCACTCGTTATTTTCTCCCTCAACCATTGGTATGGCTGGAGGTGCAGGAAAAGCAGAAACATTAGGATTACACATGAGAATCAGGAAAAAGTAACTCAAACCAGTTCATGCTGCGTGGTTGTACTCGCTAGATATGAGTTCAGTAATACAGCACTGGAGAGGTGGTTTAATGAAATTCAACCTGTACCTTCATTGAGGCCCTGGAGGTTTCTGGGATGCCGTTCTCGTACTTTCCAGTGATAATTCCACAGGCCAGAGGGGACCAAGACACGACACCCACACCTGCAACAGCATAATTACCGCTGAGCAACAGGATGTAAAATCTGTAACAAAACCTGACATCAGGAGAAACCTATTATAGGCCTACCTATCTTGTGGTAGAGCTCTGGAAGCTGAGTTTCCACTTTCTCCCTCTGGAAGAAATGATACTCAGCCTGCTCACACACCGGTGGAATTAGATTAAACTGCCTGGCCACAGAATATGCTTCCTAATTGAATGGGAAAAGGGAATAACAAGAAGGGAAGAAATGTTTACCAGATAAGGAGACTTGTAAAATAAAATACAACTTTAAAAAAAGACCTTTATGTTAAACAGCTCGCTCAGCAGCATGTATGGTTTGGATTCCATTCATGTCACCCTGTAGAGTATAAGGAAGAGTTGATATTTTTTTCATAGAGCTGACAGCTTCAGTAGTGAGGCGTGAGTAGTGAGGGATACATGACAATTGAAATCACTGAAATTAGATTGAATACATGCAGTTAAATGCAGTTTCCTCATTGTCTACAATCATTCTGTTAGATGTGTGACTTTGTACTTGCTTAGTATTAATAATTTAGACAAGACATTTCTTTCTTAGGGTGTTTCATGATATTAAAAAAAAAAAAAGTCTGCAAAATATCACAACAGGGATTCACAAAAAGGGACAAATATATCAACATATTGTCCAGTGGTTTTTACCTAATGCTGCCTGCCTCATAATGTCTTTCTCCATCACTCACCATGATCTCCATGGCAGACCACCTTGATGTCCCCCAGTACATGGACATCCCTTGGTTGATCACGTGCGTCATTGCTCTCACTATCTCTGTCAAAACAATATTAATACAGACGTACAGTGTCAATAATTGAACAGTGGATGGCGCCACAATTGCAAACTGGAAGAAAAAACAAATCTTTACATATATTAAAAGGTTGTTTGCAACGTCATACCTTAGATTATTTTACACTCTATAGTCAAAAACATTATGACAAGAACAGGCTGTCAGCCTTTGGTCAAAGTGGCATCTTCAGGAGGGTAAGAAACTAAGAGGATCTTTGGAGTGCATTCAGTCTCTTGGCGATAAAGGCTTCTCTCATTTTAAACACTTGTGTAAGCAGATACTGTTTTCTGGGGTCACATTACTTAATGTGGCCAAATGCTGCAGGGGTCAAATGAAAAGATTCAGCCAACCTTGGCCGAATGTTGCTCATTCAGTGGAACAAATTACAGCAAGTTAAAACTGAAGGAGCTGTAGCCAACCTCAATGGCCTTTGGCGGTTTGTGTATTTTTGCTTTCAGATGCAGCAGGGAAGTAATGGTTAGCGTAACAGTGAACATGCAAAATTGTTTTTAATAAAAACTCTGAATGACTTTCTCAAAGGAGTTTTTAACCAAGGACATCTCCAACAGAATGAGGAGGAGCAGGAAGAAATACAGATATTGCTTTGATTGTGTTTCTGTTGAACACTTCCACCAACTTTCTAACTCTCGAGGAAAACAACAACAAGGCGATAGTCATTTATGTGATTGCATCGGTTTGTAAACTGCACTCAAATGCATGAATGAAACATCTGCCAAATTAGCACAATGCACATCTTGGACGCAAGACGCGAAGCAGAGAGACTGGAAATGAGGGTGAAGAGACGAGACCACAGCAGAGTGTGATTAAAAAAGAGTGATTCCTTTTCATCAGTAGTTCTCTCTCTGGACCGAAATGTAGCTCAGCGAGAGACAGAGAGCAAGTGTTCGTGTGGGTGAAGCAGGTGGGAGGGTAGAGGAATAACAGTACATCTGCTCCAAAGAGGGGGGAGGAAGGGAGGGAGAGATTTTGGAGGGATGCACGGACAGAAGGAAAAAATAGTGAGGAACCGTAGAGGCACCCACAGTTCATAAGAGTTTGCAACTACATGAATAATCTCTCTCGGCGCCAGGAAGGGAAGGACGACAGCTTGATTCACGGCAACGTCCACGTCTTAGCATCAGATTTCTTTCCACGCGGCCGCAGTGAGTCATCGGCTCCACCAACAGATGCCACGGTGAGCGTGGAGCTCAGGTGAGATATCCAGCAAACACCATCAACACCCAGCTCGCAAAAAACCCACAGCAGTTTTTTCGATGTGGGTGAAGCTGTGGGCAAATGCACATGGAAAATCTGCAAAATCGTATGCATTACTATGCCGCGAGCATATGACTTAGTGTACATTTGGATGCACGGATTGCAATCGCTTATGCACCCAGCAGCCAATTAGCTCAGCAAAAAGGATGGAGAAAAAAAAGGGGGTAAACAGAAACTAGCTGTGTACTATGAAAGCTCTGAAATCACTCATTAGTATGTATATAAGAGAAACTTACAAGCTGCTTGGCTGCAGGCCAATGTCAGCCTGTCCTTGAGCTGTCTCACAGCAGCAACATGCCCCTGAGTCTCAACATTTGGCTAGTTTCAGCCAGCAGGTATCACAGTAACCTCCTGCACAGTGAAGGGCAGGTGTCTCCAGATATCTGTGTGAGAACTGCTTGATTGGAAGATGCTCCTCCTTTTTGAAGCTTATATTCCTGATGCATGGGGCAGTCATCAATACGACACATCACAGGAGTGTTTTTTCAGTGCCTGATGAAGGGCCTGTCTTAGCTCCGAGGTCGTGGGAAATAACGTTTGAATGTGCAGTGAAAAGAAGGATCAGTGGAGATGGACAGAGTGGGTGAGAGCATCCTGCATGCTCTTCTTTTTTGCTAAACATTTGAGGAGAGAGGCAGCATCCACTTAAAGGAATGTCTTGACATTTGTGTTCAGTATGCTGTGGAAGTAAAATTTTATTTGCTCTCCAGAGAAAACACTTGGCCGAAGGGATTGATATAAAATCTTTTTATTGATGCGATGTCTGCTCTTTCCTCCTGCCTCTGTATCGCTCTGAATATTTCCATATTCAGCTGATTGAACGGACTCAGTTTGTTTCATATTGCTTTGTCAAATAAAACGGTTTTGAGTGGCAACGTTGTGCAGAGGCTCAGACAGCTTGCCCTGCAGGCTACAGTGTATTTATTAATACAATGATCTGACTGTGCACACGAGCAGCACAGACGCTTCTCCTAGAGGCACCTTCTCATCATATTTGCTATAATCTGAGTATTTTTCTAAACTGCACAATTTGGTGACATGCTAGATGAGACGTCAGCCTGGGGAGAACTTCTCTACAGTCTCATCACCGCAGTTGACAGATGCAACAATAAAGAGCAGCAGAAGACACGAAAGAGGGAGTCAGAGCCTCGCGAGGAAGTCGCATATTTGTGACACACATCGGGGCCGTCCCTGCTGTTAGCCTGGACGTGGGCCAAACAAAACAAGTCAAGAGCATAGGAGAGAGAGGTGGAGTAGCGAGGAGGCAGAGAAGGATGAGTAGATGGGAGAAGGAAAGCACTGATGATAACAAAGACAGACTCTGTAGCCATGACATCACTTTTTTTGTCCCCAAGGCGACACGAGCGGTCTCACACAAAGTCGGAAGTTGTTAAAGTCACGGGAACATATTCAAACACAAACGCGTGCACCTGCTAGTTAGCCCGGCTTTTTTTTTTATAGCACATTTGGAGAGTAAATGCTTCCATTGATGTTGGTAATCCAGTTTAAGTTTCTGGAGCATGATGTGGGTGTGCGAATCAATACCTCGTGCATAACGAGTCCTACAAACTGCAAATGCCCACAGAGAAATATAGAAATGAGCAGAAACTACCTAAAAGACACAAATCTCTACATGGGGATTCATGATATTGACCTCTTTTTTTTTTGTAATAAATGATGAAACAAACATGCACAACTGCTTCATGTCGATTGTTGGGAGAGCACATGAAGGCACGACTCTCTATGCCCATCTATTGTTACATGTATCCGTGTATATTTTTCATTTGACATCCTTCTCTGTTCAGTTCCCATCATCCTGTCAGACTCTCGGTCAATCATTCTGTCAATCGGATTATACTTGTCGACGCAGTGAAGTGACTTTATCTGTAGAGCCAAATTACTAAAAGGTTTGACGGAGCGCGCTGTAGGGTCCGCCTGCCAGTCACCAGTGCTACCAGTGACAGCGAGGCCCCTGGAACGATAAGTATGACAGATTGGCCTCCCACGGTCTGCTGGCGCACGTGGGAGGAAGCAGGGGGGGGAAAGGGGAAAGAATGGAAAATATGTTAGTGGCATCAGTGGGGCTCCATCTTTTCAGTCAAATGCTACCTGTGGATGAGGGGGTTTCTGTGGAAAGGCAGAAAAAAGGGGGCCCGAGTATCTGTGATGGCCACATCAAACGTGAAGAAGAAGTGTCTGAAGGAAATAAATGGTGACATACGGTAGATGTGTGGGAAAGGCAGCCAGCACTGGAGTGTTAAAGGAATAGAGCGCACAGTAGGGCTTGTATCTAGTGAGACCAGCCCAAAAATACACCAGCTTCCCCCGGAGGGGCCAGATAATCCTGCTTCTGAAGAACAGGCAGGGCTGGGAGCGGGTGCAGCTCAGAGGCCCTGTGGAAGCTTGCGATCCCACAGAGACGGAAGAGAAATAGAGGGAGACTGGCAGACGAAAATAGCGGACAAGAGATGAGGCAAGATTGTCAGATTACTTGTATATGCGTGTGTGTGTCAGAGGAAAATACACACTTGACCGCAAAGACGAACCCCTTTGGTCAAAGTCAAAGGCCACCAGTCAGGCAAGGACAGCAGTCTCATCAGTATTTCTCACCTTCTCGTTTTACAGAACAACATGTATTGTCCCTGCACCAACCCTCCGCCAGCCCCCACGAGCCCTGGTCACAATCACTCACCCTCCATGGGAGTGTTGCTGTCTGTCCGGTTGGCAAAAACCACATCCACATACTCGAGCTGCATCCTCTGGAGGGAGCCCTTTAAGCCTGAAGTGAGAGGAGACATGAAGGGATTCGGAGTGAGACATGGGCTGGAAAAGCCAAAGAATACAAGCCAACACTAATAGGATGCACAAACTTCGGGCATGGTTCTTGTAGAGCTGAAATACTGTGCACGAGTGAGGATTCATAACACGTGGCCTGGATCTGCAAAGAAGAGTGATAGGGTGCTTTTCATTATGCTAACTTTCTCGCGCTGTCTCTCCTCCTGCGACCCGGAAATCACTCCCATCGTGGAGGATCTTTCAATCCCTTAAATGCACAGGAGACATGGAGCGAGATAAGAGGAGGCCTCTTCTGGCGGAGCTTAGAGCAAGAAAACACAGGTGTATCCTATCTCTCACATTCTCGCTGACAAGAGCAGCTAAGACGCGAGTGAAGGAAGCGAGAAGACACATTAGCATAAAGAAAAGCACTCATAATCATCTTGGACATTTTGCTGTTAATCCAGATCATAATAATCACGTAGGCAGGAATAACTTCATCTGGATTGTTTGCAGGATGCTTTTGATCATGCTCAGTTCATTGGAACAATGTGTCTGAAAAAAAAAAAGGGTCGAGTTAGGTCAAGTTAAAGGAAAAATAGGGTGAATTAGATCCTGGGGGGATCTGAAGTCAACATATTCATAAACATGGCAAAGAGACAGTTGACCACATGTGACTCAAGGCCTTCCAGCTGCATCTGCCACATCTTTAGATCCAGCTAGCTTCGTGTATGAATCCAAGTTGTCATATTCAGTCTGGTCTACCCAGTAGACTGCAAGTTGTGTTTGCCAAACAACAAAAAGCGACACTGTTTGCAACCCCGCCAGCATCCCCAAACAAAACAAAACAAAGAAAAAAACCCAGCTCCTTATCGCTTCAATCTTATGCCCCATCATCAACTGGCAAATGACGTTATTTCTGACTGCTTTATTTAATAAGAGATGATTTGCTGAGTGCAGCTTTATGAAAAAAGAAAAGCCTCTGTGTCCTATATACATGTGATGATGCTGAAGATTCCACTCTGACTTTGGCCATTTAATCCAGTTTTATGCATTTAATTCTCATGAACTTCTTGGCCATCAAAAAGTAAAGCACATTGTTGGTTAATACACTTTTTGTCACGTTAGACTTGAACTAGGATAATGTGTTTAGGCTATTAATTATGGTTGTAATCCATTAAAATGGCCCAGTAAGTAATGACAGCGAGCGAGCGTGCAAAACATCAGTAACTAAACACCTGATTGGAATTCGGCCATCATTTAATGCAATTAATTACACGTGTGTCACACTGCGGCACATTTCAGTACCATAAATGAGCAGAGCGCCATGATTCAGATGATTAAGCTTATGGGCACGTCTGTTTAGTCTCTTTAACTAGATAGTGTTTGAGAGGGACAAAATGCATTCTTTATCCTATAAATGAAAAATGTAATTTCTAATGTGCAAATTCTTCTAATTAAATACTCTTTTAACCGATCAAACTTTATGGTGGCTAATGGTAACTTCTGTTCACAAACTCTAAGCAAATAATAGATATTTATTATTATAATCAACTTTTTGACTTTTTAGTACAAAGCAGGGACAATAAAAGGCCACAGTGCAGAATGTGGCGTAAATTACAAAATGCATTTTGGCCTTTTTGTCATTGAAACATAAAACTAATCTGTGTTAACAACATGAAGCCATCAGCCACAACATTAAGTGAGACTCATTGATCATGTCATTACAACATGATGTTCTGCTATGAAACCTTCTGGCCCTCATATAGATGTTACTTTGACACGTACCACCCACATAAACATTGCTGCACACCAAGCACACCCCCACTGATGGAAACAGCACTCCCCGATGGCAGTGGCCTTTCCTAGCACCCCGCTGGAGGGAACATGACAAAGAGCACAGGATGTTAACGTGGCATCAACACCACCTAAATCACCATCTGCATCTGTGGGATGCACCAGAACAGGTCAGATCCACAGAGGAACCTAAAGAGCCCAAAGACGGGCGTACGTGTCCCAGTGGGGCCTAAACACTATTAGGCAGATGGTTTTAATGTAGCAGATCTAGAACACATTTCTCTATAAAAATAATAAAATTGTTGTCATTAATGACAACTTAGCTGTAGCTGCAGAAATAGTCGTTACATTCATTCACAATGATAACTCGATGAGGTTTAGTCCCTGTCAAACTGAGGCTACATCAGTATCTCCAGATAGGAAAATCCCTGCACCTGTGCAATCCTTTATCTTTCTTACAGACTTGAATGCTGTTGGTGGAGGAGCCAAGCAATTCAAAGGCGAGAGTTTAATAAGAAAAACGAGTGATCGGAAGAAAGGTCACACTCGGTATTTGCTGGAGGAGTAACACTGTCTATTGAGGAGAGGATGAGAGATGGCAACAAAGTATTGTGAGCAGATGAGGTTCCATTCACACACACAGAGGAGCAGATGAAAGATGAAAAGCGCACACAGGAGGCTGTCACAAAGGAGGACAGCAGAGTCACAGAGACACAAGGCAAAAGACACTCTGGTGCTCGTGAGTAAGTGTGTGCGCGTATGGCAGATTAGCGCCAGAGGCGTCATCATCACCCACTAATCCCAGCTGACAGTTATACTCTCCCCACCACCGTTACAGCCACTTATTCCTTCCTCTGTCATCTGCACCCCCACGATCCCAGAAACACCCATTACATGGATCCTAATCTGAGCCTGCACCGTCATCACGAGCAGTTTCCGCTCTCTGTCTCGTGGATTAGCTGGAGTTTACCGGCTGTGAAGGGGGCTCTATTTTTGGAAACTGGGAAAAGAGGTTTCACAACAAAGCTACTCTACTAGCGTCTGCAATGAATAATGCATTTAATTATGTGTTCTACGAAAGAGTCTTTTAATGCTTAAATTGTCATGAGATTCCTTTTGTCCTGAGAGGAAAGTGCTGAACATACTTGCTGGTTGCTGGAGTGACCTTGACCTTTTCTTGCACTGTCACCTCAGGGTTAATCTGAGATGATCTCTGCTACTGATTATCCCAATCATAACCAGCGAATGTTAATCAATCAAATGTTTGATTGACAGGCCCATAGTGGGCCCTCCAATCAGCAGTAAGAGGGATGGTGTCAGCAGATGTTTCGCTTTGTCAGTTCATTACAGGAAATGTGTCAAACCAGAGGTGACAGAGACACTGCAACTCTCTCCTTCACAAATGTTATCTGTCATGCACAGGCTAAATTGAAATGTCATTTTTCTTCCCTCTCCTACTGTCTGCCTCACATATCCTTTTCATCTGTTCTTGCCCCTTCTAAGTGCATTCCCCATCTCTTGTTTAGGGGGGAACAGTTGCAGAGGCTGCAGTGAATGTTAATAATGTGAGAGAGAGCTGAGTCACTGCAGGAGGTGCATTGCGCCGTGGACCGGATGGCGAGCTGTTTGAGAAGCGAGGTGGATCGAGCGAAGGGCATGAGAAAGTTTTGTCACTATAAGCTTTAGCAACGCCAAAACTCTTCCCAAAGAGGCAAACAGAGAAGAGCAGAGCAGACGATACAATGGATCCTATGATGCAACAGATTCTTAACCAGACACCTGTAAAAGTATTTCACGCAACAACAAAACAAAACATCTGTCAAAGTCCAACGTGCTGCGAACTAATACAGCTTTCCGATTCAGCTGTGCGCACATCAAAGAGGCGAGAAGAGATGCGGACAGGAACAAAGAGGGAGGAGGACAACAGATAAAAGAGGGAGATTACAGGAGTGCAGTGGGGTTCCGAGTGATGGGGTGATGTGAAGGACAAAGCAGAGGAGAGGAAATGGACCTGTTACCTTCAATGATGTGTTTTCTGTTGAGGCCTCTCTCTGTCTCTGCTCTGCAGCGGGAGGAAGACAAGTGCATGTCAGTGGTGTCAACATGTCAGCACATACATTAATGCACACAACTCTCTTGTATGCAAAAAACCAAATAGCAATGCGGTCATTCAACGATCTGCAGTGTGCCTGCGGATAAAGAACAAACTGTGCAGTGTGTCTGTGCAGCGGGCAAACGGTCACCCATCAGACTTTTTTTATGTTTATTGACCTTTGTTTCGACATCCAATAAAGACGTCCTCTTAAAGTTGAAAAACAGTTTTGAAATAAAAGTTGTGCCGTCGTCTAGGACGTTACTCAGATGTCTGCTGGACGTCCTTCCTAGATGTTCTATAAGTAGTGGGGCTGGTTTGCCAGAATTTTTCTCTATTACCCATTTGCAAATTAAAAAAAAAAAAAAAAAAGAAGTCTGGTAAGAGAGCTAAAGCACAAATGAGGTTTCTGAGCAGGGAGGGTGCCTGCGACTGTGACATTTTTAATCCTGAGCTAACCAGCCATTGCACTGAAGAAATCCACACCACAGGCTTATGGAAGGCACTAAGGGACATTTGTCACTATGACAGTGCAGAGACCCGCACAAATAAGCTCAGAGTGCAACACACGATGAGGCAGGAATGTAATTTACATGTCGATTCACAAGAATGTGTTACAGGCATCGAGCAGGACATGGAGTGGATGTTGTGTGTCTGACTGCAGCCAATTCATAATCAAATATGCTTTTTCTTTTTCATAACAGTAATTTATTTAATACTTCCTGGCTTGTAATAGAGGGTCAGACTGGTGCTTTATTAGGCATGGAAACAATGTCCCGTCTGACTTTCTGCCTCTTAACCACGGTGCAGTTGTTGTCGTCCAACCACAATCAATTTTTGACCTGATGTTTTCTGGATTATTACCACTTGGATCACCTGTGATTTGTTGGGTACTTCGCCAATTGGAGTGACTTTGCAGATGAAAATAGCCCATATCTAGGAAAGACGAGACAATCACTTGGCTGAAAAGTGAAAGTCTGCACAGCCAAATTGCATATAATAATTGCATGTCCATCCATTATCTATACACCGCTTAATCCTCATTAGGGTCATGGGGGGCTGTAGTCTATCCCAGCCGACTTAGGGCGAAGGCAGGGGACACCCTGGACAGGTCACCAGTCTATCACAGGGCTACACTTAGAGACAGACAACCAAGCACACTCACATTCACACCTATGGACAATTTAGAATCACCAATTAACCTCAACATGTTTTTGGACTGTGTGGGAGGAAGCCAGAGAACCCGGAGAGAACCCACGCTGCACGGGGAGAACATGGAGACTCCACACAGAAAGATTCCAGTGCCCCCACCGGGACGCGAACCGGCAACCTTCTTGATGCGAGACAACAGTGCTACCAACTGCGCCACTCTGCAGCATAATTGCATGTTTCAAAGAAAAAAGTAATTTTAAAGACTTGAACCTGATGATACAGTCCAGATACCTGTAGATGTGCACAACACCTTTATCCAGTTGTTGCCTAGTCAAAGCAGAACTAGTGAATAAGAAAGTACACTTACTTAAGCACTTCATTTAGAGAGACTTGTACTTATGAAAAAAAATAACTTCATTTCCAACTTTATGCTGATATTTCTCTCGTGTTTAAAGGCAAATATTATACTTTTATTTGAATACATCTATGTTTCTTAAGTTACTGGCTTTGCCAAGATATTGTGCTAAATTCAAATAATTGAAACACATTCATCAACATTCCACCACCTTGACAATAAATGTATTAGTAATTTGAAACTATTCTATGTAGAGAGACCGTATATTTTGCAGCTAATACCTGAAGTAAAGTTGAACGCATTCATGTTTTAAATGGATGCCAAATATTCAGTCTCCTTTTACCTCCGTTTTGGTCTCCACCAGCTCCACCAGGAAGATATCTGGCTCTGTAGCTGTTAAATGCTTCATTATGTTTACAAGCTGGCTGCTCAATTGCCTGCCATGTAGCACTAAGCGTGCAGTGCTTCTCAGAGCTGAAAACAGCTGCTGGTACATCTGAAAATGTCTTTACTCAGTCACTTCATGATTTTCCCTGTCCTTGCATTTTGCCTTTTGTACTTTGTTTCTTCTTCTTCTTCTTTTTTTTTTTACTCAGTTGTCTGCTGTTTGTTTTGCCTCCCTTCTTGCTTCATTTCACACTTTCTCTTTCTACCTCCCTCCCTCCTTCCTGTGGTTTTCCAGTCTGCTTAGGGTTATATTAATGCATTCCAAACACAAAAAAACACGCCGTTTCCCATGTTATCGTGGTTTCTTATGTTTTGTGCACAAGATTAAAGAAGCGCATTAGACAGCAAATATCAACTGCATGGACTGGTAATGAGAAGCTTGAAAAGCCGCTCTCAATCTCAGCTGGGGGTTAAGCAGTTGTTCTCTAAATCCATCCGAGGTGCAGACTGAAATACCTTGACATTCTGAGAGGATGAGCTTAAGTTTTACACCAGTCTGCCGAGTTATATCAGATTAAAAGAGAACCATAACAAGTGTGTGGATGTCCTGGTGGAAATTGTACTTCTCTCAGTACAAGCCTGGAGACTATTAAAGAGGGAACGTGACTTGTGCAGACAGAGAGCAGAGTACGTCAGCATGACAGTGCAACGAGACATGACTCTTGGCAGTTTGGCAAGAAGGCCGAAGACGGCCGAGGCGGTGAGGACGACGGGGACAGAAACGTGGCCATGTCTTCTGAGCGTGTCGACCGTGTCTTTGCGCCTGTGGTTTTTTTTTCCCTCCAAAATGTTTGATCCCATGTCACGCTCCCTGCAGCTCGAGGCAAAAGTTTTAATGTGTAGCCTGTTTGCGGTGAGATAGTCTGAACATCTGAGGAGGGAAATCCACATGCTGGACACACACGTATGCACACGCACTTACTTTCCTCCCCAGTAGAGCTTTGTGGTGATCACCAGGCTGGATCTCCTGAGGGAAGACAGACAGACACATCAAAAAGCCATAAAAAAAAGAAAAAAGACTTGCTTTTAAAAGACGTGTGTTTTCATGACCGTGCCTGCATGTGTGCATGACGACATGCGAGCCAGTGTATCTAGTAAATGTCACAGCAGCTCTGCACCTTTTTTCCAAACTTATCTCGTATGAACAGTCGCAGATGGACTCTTTTCTCTGTAGCCTAACAAGATAGCTCCCCCACTATAAAAATCCCCCATGCTTGAATGATCAATAATTTAAACAGATCCGGAGCTGAGGTGAAGGCAGGCAGAGAGCTGGCATGAGTTGCGGAGAAGGGCGATACACATAAGTGAGTTTTATCTCTGCAGTGTGGCGGTGCATTCAGAACAGAAAAGTGGTGTTTTTTTTTTTTCTGTGGCGGAGATACAGACTCACACTCAGCAGCGCCCGCTTGGTTAGATATTCAAATATGATGTTTTTCAAGTTTGCAGTTCCAGATAATGACTGGATTTCATGGATAGGCAGGGAGGTCTCAGGGAATTTTTTGCTTATTAACAAACTTCCACCAGAGTTAGATAGATATTTTCCACCTTCCACCACCTAATTTTTTGCCATATGTAATGCTTTAAAGCACGCACACACACACACACACACAGGCAGCTTGGGTGTAATCATATTGTACACATACATGGTGTGGCTGAAACTGTTGGGTTGCCCTTCATGGGTTTGGCAAAGCCCCTTCATTCCAGCAATGGGAGAAATTTGGAAGCTAGGGGTCCTGCACTCACCCCAACTAACTCCAAAAAATTACTGAAAAAACGCTGGCAGCTAATTGCCCAGACTTGTAATTAAAAATAGACTTTTTTTTTTTTCATTAACAGTGTGTCCACATTTTAAAAAAAAGAAAAAAAAAACACAAAAAAATTATGTCTGCTATTCTTAAATAGTGAATTTTAGTTTTTTTTTTAAAAAGAAGAAGAAGCAGTTTTCTGTTATTCAATGATTTGTGAATTATGAAAAAACTAAAAAAATCTGTTGATTTATGGTAACCCTGCTTTAAATAAATGAATAAAAAAAGTAAAATATGTCAATACTATACCTAAAAATGGAACTGTCCAGCCAGTTAATGATAACCAACGGTGATAACTGACAAAAATCTTGTGATAAAAACAGATGTTTTATTAACTCATATATCTTTCACGTTTCTGTAAAAACACTGATCTGAAATTAAAGATTATTTTTATTCAATTTCCAGAATGTGGATAAGAGAAGATACACCTGTGAATCACAAACTGTGGACAATTTCTGTTAAAATATAGAGTCGTACAACTGCACAGACTTGTCTTCGGGTGCATCATAAATCTGAGGAGCCTAAAGAAGATGAATTTAATGTTGGTGATCACAGCATGAATGATAACAACTCTGAGCTGATCAACTTCCTCTAGAAGCATTGTCACTTCAGACTTTTGTCTGTGATCAAATATCTCCAAAATGAGCCTCAACTCCACATTTTTGCAGTCTAATATGGCAAGCCAAGAAACCCCATCCGTCCGTCCATTATCTATACACCGCTTAATCCTCACTAGGGTCGCGGGGGGCTGGAGCCTATCCCAGCCGACTCACATTCACAGCTACAGAAAATTTAGAATCACCAATTAACCTCAGCATGTTTTTGGAATGTGAGAGGAAGCCGGAGAACCCTGAGAGAACCCACGCTGCACGAGGGGGAACATGCAAACTCCACGCAGAAAGATCCGAGGCATCCTAACCGGGACGCGAACCAGCAACCTTCTAGGTGACGGGCTAACCAACTGAGCCACCGTGCAGCCCAAGCCAAGAAAATAAACATGGCAACATGGCATACCTGCAAATCAAGGATGTGTACAGCTTAGAAGCATTACTGTAAGCTTATCTCTTTTTATTTTTGCATTTTTAAAAATGAAATAAGCAATGTTTTCACCTCTGCAGGCTGTAAAATTCTTCAAATGAAACAAAGCCTAATCTTAGTAACAGAGTCCAGACTGTGATGATGGCTTATAATTATTAGTTTATCTTAAACCAAAAAGGGACGACTGTTTTAGACAGTAATGCGCTGCCTCAAGCACAAAGTGAAGCCCACAAAAAAAAAAGGTTTGCTGGCTGAAAGAATTTCAACTCCATCCAACACCTTTGTGTTGAATCGCAACGCCAGCTGTGAACCAGGCTTTATCACCCAACATCAGTGGCTGACCTCACTAATGCTCCTGTGACAGAATGGGAGCAAAAATCCCTGCAGCAAGGCGACAAAATCTTGTAGAAAACCATCCTGGAAGAGCTCTTCTTAAAAAAAAAAAAAAACCCATGGATTTGTATTGTGATATTAATAACATACACCTATAGCAGAGTGTAACGTATGTTTTACGATATGGTGTATATTCTTTTTTAAAAATATATTGAATTATTATTGTTTTTGCTTTGTTTAGAGACAACAATTTACCTCCAGCACTTCTTCTTGATGATGTTTCCCAGGATTATCTCTGCTCTGTAATGAAAAATACATAAAACATAATGAGATTAGATCTAAGACGGCCGTTTCTCTCACAGCATGTAAGCGTTATCTGTCACACATCTGCGGCATGAACGCTTGATTAAAAATCAGAGGGAGTACAAGATAAAGGATCAACGTCTCTTGTACTGTACGCTTGAATTTTTACCAGCAACCTTGAAATTATTATTTATCCCCACGCAGCTGCAGCATGTCCCGCATTACTCACCTCAATGGTGTCAGGCCTATAAAGTTAGATTGAGCTGTGAACGTAATGGGGCGCCTCCAGTGATGAATAAGATTATGTAAATCACTTTACAGTCTCAGTTGCCTTTTTTTTTTTTTTTTGGTCTCCTCAGGTGCATAATTCCTGGTCTGGGGCCAAACCTTGTTAACATCCTCATGTCGTATATGGGAAAAAAAAAAAACAGCTGACAAGACTAGAAAAGTGCTCTGAGCAAGTGAGATGGATAACAAAATAGGAGACATCACTCACTTCCCCCCGGAGTAGACTTCAGCCGTGTCGAACAGGTTGACCCCGCTTTCGTAGGCGATAGTCATCAGCTGCTCGGCTACCTGACAAGAGAAAAGTTTCCCCTCATGAGCCTCAGTGTGGTATAATACTCCTATAAATATTACCCCAATTACATTTCAAAAAGGAAAGGGAATTCCCCGAAGAAGCTGTAGGAGAGTAAATGTGTTTGCTGCCGAGATGCACATCACCAAGAACACTGTACAGGCTGCTTGTTGGTTAAACTTGCTTACTGCTCGATATATTTTCTCTGACTTTTTTTTGACCTAGTTTTCGCGGCTGCAGTTTATTCAGAAGGGGGGAGACGGGATCAGATCGGAAGGCCAGATTTGTCAGGATGACTTCCTCCGTCTGTATCCATCCCTGTTTTGTTCGGGTGATTTTATTTGTGTCCGTGTATGAGTTAGTCCCAGTGGTCATCGGACAGTGATGAGCTGTCGCTAGTTCAGTGTCGTCCCCCCCTCCAAGGCCAGACCAGGGCACTGGAAGAGGTCCTCTGCTTAATAACTTGAGACAGGGAGGAATCAGACCTGACCACTTGGCCTTGGTAGAGCCAACAGGGACTTAGCAGCCTGCTGTGATATTGGGGACACTGACACCAGACTGATTACTGTGGTATACTCACACCGTTTTATTTTCAGTTACACTAAATTGCTCCCATGGGTTCTGCAAACTGGGTGTTGTAAACTGTCACAAATGGTCACAAGTGGCATTTGCAATCTAACTGGGTCTGAAATGAAAGCCAGCATCTGCTCATGAGCTGAATAATAGATTTGACATGAAGTCTTACCTCATCAGAGATCTGACCTCCAAATGTTACCCATGTTCCTGTAGGAGAAAAAAAACACAACATAAAAGCACATGAGACTTTCTGCATGTAGAACAAGTAATTTTTATACTGCATTAATTATTGCTTTGGTATTTTGGGCATGGACAGCTGACAAAATGCTCCCTGCCCCAAAGCCATCACAGCCAAATGCCAGCGTTGAGTGGTGGTAGAATAGAAGAGAAATGGTGCACTGCCACATTTCTCTTGTATTTTAAGCCACAATATGTAATTCTGTAAAGTGATTAACGTGAAAATCTTTTATTAAAATGCGAAACAATTTCAGTGCATTGCTGAGGAGCATGGTGGTCTACGTCAAAGGTCTTTTTAGGTGCTTTCACTCGAGGTGTTTTGTTTTTTGTGCGTTCTTTCCTCCAGGCAGCTCTGGCGTGTGAGTAAAGAGCTGCTAACTGCCCAGGAACCAGTCACAGTCATCCACCTGCATGACTAACCAGCTTTACAAACCTGCGATGACAAGTGCTGTGGCTCATGTTTACCCTTTATTTTTTACTTCCTCATTTTGAATATGGCAGTAGTTCAGTCACTGGGAAATTTAGAGTCATGTTTTATTATTTGGCAGAATCTATTTTCTATTATTCCCTTCTGCAAGAAGGGGCTGGTGTGCCTTGATAGATACTGTATTACCTGTCATTTGTCAAAAGATGGTATTAATAGCAGTTCTGAAGGAGTCCGCATCAGTAAGTATCCTTGTATCAACCATCAAAATATCTCTCAGGTCAGTCATACAGTTTCCATGCACAAGGACACACTACACACTTTAATAAAGAAATTAAACTAACATAATGCTACACACACACATATATATCATGCAACATCTGAATCCAGAGCACAAACGGTACAACTCTATGACAGTGAATCTGCTGCTCTTTGTGCTATTCTTATACTGGTGTCCCACAGGTTTCTGTACTGGGACCACACTCACTGAGTCTATAGAGATGCACCTATATGCCGACGATACTGTGATCTATAAACAGAGTTGAACAGAACAACAGTTAATGCAACTGATCATACCTCTAAACTGCTCATGCATTAATTTAGGTGTCTGTGTACCACTGCTGAACGTATTATGCTTAGTAACAAGGCAAAAGTTTTTGTTTTGAGAAGGTCACTGTGAAAGTGTTAATATTTAAGTTATTATTATCACAAGGGTTTTTGGTATATGTTCAACTTCTTCCAAAACCCTTTCGAACTTTAAAACTTTGATTTTGTGTATCAAATGTTGACTTTTGTTTTAAAGTTTTAGTTTGAAATTTAAAAAAATAAATAAATAAATAAAATAAAATAAGAAGCTAAAAGCTGTGTTTGAATTTAGGTATCTTAGTGTTTGAATTCACCAAAGTCTGTACTTTCCCTCTTGTGCCAAAAAATGTAGAAGGTTTGATTCATTGCTTAAATTTTGATTTTTTTCTAGATACTAAGTGACTGCTGAGACAGCTATATTAGATGTGGTTGCTATGGTCATTACACATTTCATATTGTGCCATAAGGTAAATAAAATAAAACAAATCCACTGAAAAGACCATATAAATGTAGAATTAGTATGTTGCCAGAAACCAAATAGATTTTAGAGCTGAACAACTTGATACATTTATACTTCACCACATTTTCCCAGCTCACAAGTTTCTGTTGTTATTTGTTTTGTTTTCAATAACCAAATGGAAATTAGCCTATTAGGGTAACTCTGGCACATTTACATGACTTTTTTTTCCTGTTATACAATGAGCCCTGTGCTTGTGAAATACACTGGTGTGAAATCTTAGAATAAACATGCACAAACTGTACTAACGTATAGTGTTCGTGAGGGATGCACTTCCAGCCCCTGTTCTTCCTTCAAACAGCATACGATGAACACAGTTTCTGTTAGAAATTTTTATCTTCTCCTGCCAGTCTTCTGTTGCCTGATCCTGTCACACGAAGCTTGTTACTGTCTCCCACTAATATGAAATAATGGAAAAACTGGTGTTAAATCCGTAGCCAACAGCGCCAGAAGCACAGCAGCAGATTGGCGTAGGCTCTGCCTGAATTTAATCTGGCAATGGTCAAAGCAAAATCTATCAAAATTATTACCTGCTGTCCAATTTTTTCTTAAAAATTGAATAAACAAACGAAGCAGTGAAACAAGGTATCCACTGCCTCTATAGCAGCAGCTGTTGGAAGGAATTAATGTAACGCCAGATGAAACATTTGAGCGTTTGTCCTCTTTGCAGCTCTCTGGTGACAGGTACTCGGATTTCTAGTGTTAGTGGTTTAATCTATATTTTCCTCATTTTCTTTCAACATTTTAAAAGCTTTTGAAGCACCACCTGGGGAGGCATGTTTTATAATTCGGTTTAGCCTTCCTTATTCTTTGCTTCTAGGCTTAAAGTGGTGCTGATAGACAGACAGCACCTGCCTGTCAAAAGTTAAAACAGGCTTGATAAGTAATAGCACGCAATAAACACCCATGCATCAAGGATCGGATTTAGTCTTGGTTCATGTGAGGTCCTCTTACAGTTTCAACACACGAGTGAATGTGCACAGACTGCACTGATGTACTGGATGTGCAGGAGAAAGAAGCAGTTCCAGGCTCTGCAGGCTTACAGTTTGTGCTCCAACTTTAATGTTTTCCTGTCAATCTTCTGACACCTGATCTAATAAGAAATAATGCAGAAGCCCTTTCTGTTCAATCTTTAGGCAACACATTCTGGGGAGTACACTTTTTCACTTTCTTGCTAAAAGAAAGGACAAGATCAATGCTTCTCTCATGCCTTTACAGTGATGTGAGTGATGCTATTGCCTTTGCATAGCACAAATACAGGGAAGTAACTCTACCTTGCCAACAAATATTCAATGCATATGTTCAAAATATTTTCCAGTAGGGGCTGCAAGGTGGTTAGCACTGTTGCCTCGCAGCAAGAAGGTTGCCGGTTCGCATCCCGGTGGGGGCACCGGAATCTTTCTGGGTGGAGTTTGCATGTTCTCCCCGTGCAGCGTGGGTTCTCTCTGGGTTCTCCGGTTTCCTCCCACAGTCCAAAAACATGGTGAGGTTCACTGGTGATTCTAAATTGTCTGTAGGTGTGAATGTGAGTGTGCTTGGTTGTCTGTCTCTAAGTGTAGCCCTGTGATAGACTGGTGACCTGTCCAGAGTGTCCCCTGCCTTCACCCTGAGTCAGCTGGGATAGGCTCCAGCCCCCCTGCGACCCTAGTGAGGATTAAGTGGTGTATAGATAATGGATGGATGGATGGATTTTCCAGTCGTTGCGCTAAGCTAAGCTAACTGGATGCTTGTGGTAGCTCCTACTTGTAGTCGAACAGCAAAATCCAGGTCAAAAGGTGCAGTTCCTTGAAAGGCCACTTGAGGCTGGCTTCAAATGTGAGTCAGCCCCCATCGACCACCATGTTAAAATGCCCAACTTTACAGCAGATATAAACATGCTTACAGTGTGGTGCGAAAAATGGTTTTGGTTTCTTACAATTGTATGCTGGGTGAGTTTTTATTTCCAGTAGCTCACCAGTTTGATTTGTATTAGGATTGAAATGATACTTAATAAGGGGGTGGTGTCATCATACGACAACTTATGGTCCACAGACGTTTGGATTGGCCCACTTCAGCTACACTCACCCTCAAACTCTTTGCTCATTTTTGGATTAGCTGGGAGTTATGAGGAGTCAGGTGCTGCCAAGACGGTGACAGCCGGAGCCACCACACTGAGCTGGAAACCTGTGGGAGACGTCATCTTTATACACCGTCCGGACTTAGCGCACAGATGTGAGAATCCTCTGCTAATTACTGTTCTCAAGAAAGTGACAGTCTATTTCCCAAATGTTAAACTATCATTTTAGAATTTAATTAAACAGCTGAGATATAGAAGCACAGAAATCTCACAGAATCAAAATACTAAAAGCAACATCTGCACAGTGGGACTCTTTTTCTCCCTTCCTCCTCTCTCGAGAAAACTGGCACAGGCAGGAATCAATGTTTTGCTCAAGGGCACTACAGCACAGCTGAGGCTCGCCAATATCAAGGTTCGAAACTCATCCCCTTCAGCTGATAAATGTTCTTCCTCTCCACTTTTCCTCCATGCTGCTTAGCGTACTGTGGCCAGATCTTTAAAAAAAAATCACTGGGAGATGATTAACTAACTCCTTTAAAAGATTTTCTTCGACGTCTGCCAGGCCTGGACAGCAAAGCATCAATCCTCTGCTTTGTCGAGTTAGTTTGTCTTCAGAGACACACCCCCTTCAAGCAACAAAAACAGCACAATACATGCATCGACACGACAACAACACACACACACACACACACAGACGAGAGAGATTTACTAAATGAATCAGTCCTCTCAAGATGAATGAGTGTACTTACCCACTGGTGCGCATTGGATATGTGTGATAATTGAGCAACTTGTTTGCCGAAGCCACTGCCATTGATTAATTATTAACAGGGAAACTATTAATGCTCTGCAAACAGTCTTCTGTGGTCTCCCATGACTTTCCATACATATAAAAGATGCATGAAGTTTAGAATGGGGTGAAATGATGTAATGAAATTTTTAAGAAAACCGTCCCCTTCAGTTTGACTCTTTCTCCCGACCTTGCCATCTTCTCCGCACACACCATGAGCTGAATCACACTCGGATGCTCGTGAAATCGTTACACACTTGCCATTTATTAATGCTAATTAACAAACACACTCACCGAGCCCCAGACAGGAGACACGCAACCCAGATTTCCCCAGGTTCCTGTGAAGAAAAACAAAAGCATGACTGAGAAAAACCAGCGGTATTTAGACTCAAGAAGTCATCAGTCAAATTTGAATGCAATTACCGCATGCTCCTATGTGTATTTCGCTTTGGGCCCACAACAAAATCTATGTTGTTTCCAAATTATAACTCCAGAGACTGGAATGAAATAACATACAGCCGCTACACAGCCTAAAGTATAAGCAAAGGAAAAAAATCAATTTTAATTTTTACGTCTAACATCTTGTTGGGTTTGATCAGAAGGAGATTCACTGAATCAGAGGGTCACCTTTACCGCCGTGAATCATAATTGAGAGATTAAAGAGGGGGAGGACAGTTGATTTACTCCATCAGTATGGATCCCACATTCGCTGGAAGAAAACGTTTTACTAATAACTGAGAAAAACAATTACGGATTGCACAGCAGAAGTTCAGTACAATACTTTCTGACAAGTGTTGCCCTTTGCTTCTCCGCTCTCATTCCTCACTCCACTGCCTCGGAGCTTTTCGACATCCTCTTACAACAGGGAGCACTTCAGTCCTCAGGCTTTGCTTTTATTACCTTCCCCACACAATGCAGATAACTAAGCTCACTCACAAGCGCTGTATCATATCGGCATTCCTCAAGATAGACCCTCGCACGCGTTTCTTTATCTGCTTCCTTAACGAATCCCTGCACCTATTAACGGCGCAATAATATAGCAGCTCCTGATATATGCCTCCTTGATAACGGTTAATTTACATCCAACTGATCCGCGACGATGTAATATGGCAGCTCTAAACTCTCCATTAACAACATGGAAGATAAACTCAAACATCAGACTTCTTTCCACCCTTGATTCAGATTCTCAACTCTCCTACTTTTCAATCTGTGCCAAACCAAGTCCAGCTGAGAGGGGGAACTCATGCAGTGAGAGCGTTTAATTGCTAAACAGAGACGGTGGCAGCAAGAAGCAGATTGCTCTCCCTCCAGCCTCCACAGGTGTCTTTCCACATTGTGATGGATGTGAACCGCAGGTGAAGTAAAAGTGCGACGAGGGAATCGACGGCCCTGCAAGGGCAGCTACAGTCATCCGATAGTGGAAATGGTACGAAGCAACCGCCGTGAAATTGAGACACATTCTTTTGACAGAAGCGTCAAGGCCACATGAGCGCGCAAAATCACTATTACAAGCAAACCTCTTTGTTTTAGGTGGAGAACGTGTCCAGACAATAGGCGCAGAAACAACCTCTAATTGTGCTTTCTACTCGGCTTTGCAGGCGTTTGCTCACCGCAACAAATGAGGCTGCAAAAAAAAAAAAAATTTTAAAAATGCCAGCAGTCGTTTTTGCGACTAATGGCCTGTGCCTATGTCGAGATAAAGGCCGACTAATTCCAGCCCGTGCTGTCCAACCGTGCCCTTAGCCAATTCAATTAGATGTCCAATGTTGGGGATGCATCAGTCATCGAGTCAGGAGTTCGAACCGAGCTGCCAACGTAATAGCCCGAAACATACAAATGAAAATGTTTACATGTAAACGTTGGGGGCAATTTGATAAATTTCTGGATTCCTTGATGCATTATATAATTCAAGGACTGATAACAGCATGACAGGAGCAAACTCAGAGACAGATCTCACTGCTGTCACAAATCGTGGGATGCGTTCTTGTCTCTAATATGGTGGAGGAGTTTTGGATATTGTATCCTCCATCTCTCTGATGTATTATAGAGTGGGAGCTCTGATCCATGAAAGTGTGGGGGAAGGGCGGGACTGTAGGTTAGAAGTGTGTTTCAGGCTGTGTGTTCGTTCGGGGGCTACCGAGGACAAACCTCACCGATGCTGAGGAATGCAGTTTCATTGCAGCACTTTTTTTTTTTTTTGTAAGTTGGGTAAAGCGTGTCCTTAACGCCTGGACTAGTTGCAAATTGTATATCCATTTGCCTCAGGACTTTATTGATTCTGTTTTCATGTTTACAGTGGCTCATTCATGCACACTATTCTCACAATAAACAAGCTGGCAGCGAAATCCATTTACAAATACAGCTGGCTCTCCTTGGCAAAATGCTAACTTTGTATTGGGAGTTCTACCATAAGCTAAATTTGCAGCGCCTGTGGGCCGCTTTAAATGCATACCGGCTGTCTTAATGACGGCAAAAAAATAAAAAAATAACAAAGCAGCCGGAGAAGGCGCCTCGCTTCTGCATCTTCAGCCGATGCTGCCGCTTCCTGACACCCCAGAACAACACTGATTATTAACCACGCAGCCCACTATAGCGCAATAATAGAACTGTCCAGGTCTGAGGCAGCACAGGCACGTTGCTAAAGGAGCTAATGATTCAGGGGGATTACAGTGTGTCATTTGCAAAAAGGGAGAAAACAATGCATAGCTTCAAGTTAAAGAGAAAGTGGGTTGCTTTATGTGTGAGAGAAGGAGAGAAAAGCAGGGCTGCTGGGAGGCAAATGCATGAATATGTTCTATATTGTATTGTAAATGATCACATGAACACACAAAGAAGGAGAAAATTTGTCTATGTACACTTGGACGTAAACAACTTTGGAAGCCCTGCGAGTGTTGCTCGGCCCCTCATGCTTGGATGATGCCCAAAAGAAGCCTTGAAGTAAAACGACAAATGAGTCATTTGATGACGCCCCCTCACGCAAACCTGTCATCACTTGTGAACGTCCTGTGAGCCGCTACTGTATGTTGCCGGCGCTATTCTTAGTGGATCTGTAGCTGAAATAAAACATGAACATCTGGCTGGTATATTATGTTTAATGTTGAGCTTAAACCTTAGAAGGAGTGGCCTCAATGAGGGAAGACTTTTCCTGGAAAGCACTTATTTGGCGCCTTTGGTCACACTGGGGTATTTCTTGTGATTTATTTCCCGATGTTGGATTGTTCAAATCAATATTTGTCGGCAAACACTTTTGTCAGGGTTATGAGCAAACGGCTGAAACTCTTCACTCGCAGGGGATTAATGTAGACGAAGGAAACCCACACAAGCCAACCTTGATGGGCGGAAGGATTAGACGACACCCACCTCCTCGGTTCGCTCTCTCTTGATGGTAACCATAATGTTGTTATCAAAATAATTCAGCACAAGGGAGTGAGGCGGGTGTAAATGTATAGAAGAGCAAGGCTTGTGTGGGCGGAAGAATGTAGGGAAGTAAAATCAAGGACTTTGAAGGAGGGAGGAGGGGAGGAGAAAATAAAAGTGATTATATTTAGTTTGACAGAAAAACGGCTGGCTGAGATGCTGGGGTACAAATGCGCTGATGACGCTTGATGGACGAAGAAGACAAGGAGCGATACGAGCAGAGAAGGAGAGATACACTAGCAACAGACTGAAGCTTGCAGAGTTGCAAGTCCAAGCCTCGAGTCTGAGCAGATCAAACGCCCTCTACAGATAAAGCATTCTATATGACACAGAATGGGAAATAGAAAATGACAGCCAGCTCCCCACAGGGCCCGTGCATGTTTGTGTGTGTGTGTGTGTAATAAAAAGCCAGAGTCTAGACACGACTTTCTGCTTTGTTTTTCCACAGGCCTAAAGTCAACACGGCTTCATTTTTTTTTTTCATTTTTATGCAGCATGTACACACACGGGCCTCACACAAACACTCATTTATACATACACAGGGTTATTTTTCTTTCGACTGGAAGAATATTCAAAATGCTTGGACGTTTCTTTCCCTTTAATTGAAACAAGTGACTGATGGGTAAAGAATCTCACACGAAACAGCTATTTTAGGAAGGGACCCATGACTGGAGCGAGTAGCCTGCTGGTTGACCCGGTATTGAAAAACATGTGGGCAGATCTGAAGTGGTTGATTCAGTATGGTGTGAATTTCAGAGAGAGCTAGGCAACATGGAAAAAAAAAAAAAATCACCTAGATAAACCAGAAAATCCTAATTCGCCACGGTTTGACTACGATAGCAGCAAATACACGACGAAGGATTTTTGTTGCGACATTTGACAAGTGTGTAATAAGAGTAAAGTGACTAGAAACAAGGCTCAGATCGATCCCCTCGGGTTCGATCTATCACATTATTAGGTTTGTTCGGCTCAGCTCAACGAGCATTGTTTTGCAATTTGCAGTAACTCTATTCAGTTAGGATTACACGAATGCGGCGGAGCTTTCCTCGTGTTTTATCTCTTCCAATTATCTTTGTGATTATAGTCTGTTTACCGAGGCCACTTCGGGAGACAAAGCGAAAATTGCATTTGCAAGGCTACACTTTAATAAAACCATTACGCTTACAGTAAAACACTTTAACTGTGACCTTTAATTAAAAAGCACTAAGTCCACGCAAACTTTCAGGCTTTTTAGCTGTGTGAGTTCTTCTCCTTTGGGGCTTGTTTGGTTTTTAGGCCGAGCGGAGCTTCATGCTGCAGGGCTGCTGTTGTGCAACACCCTGGCTCGTATTATTAGATCTACACATCACACAGCAGAGCGGCCGAGACGAGCACTGCGGAAAGTGATGTCGGAACATGAAATGCGTTTATTTTATTGAAGGCTGATGTGGACTTTTTTGATGAAAAACTGGGCAAGAACAACAACAGCTCAGAGTGTGGAAGGACACGGGGAACAACAGAGCGTCTCTGAGCGAAAGCAGAGCGATCGACTCCATGAGTGCAGACATGCGTGAAGTCACGTGCACGCAAACACACCATATACGCAAGGTTCACCTCAAAACACACAGACTGTAAATAGTGATGAATGGTGCAGCCACAACAACAGAATATCTTCTTTGATCAAGCATATAGAGGAAGTGGTTCCATCAATCCTAAAAAATACTCACTTAAAGGTCCCATATAGTAGAAATCTATCTTCATTGTGTTTTGTGGTTGTTAATTTAAGCTGTTAGCATTTATGCCATTTCTAAAGCCCAGTTTTAGCCGTCAAACATGGCCACAGAGGGAGTTTTCTTCCTGAAGGGGGCGAAAACAGCAGCTGCTCACTGGTGTTCAGAGCAAAACAGCTCATTTAAAAAAGCCCTAAAACCAGGACTTCACA